CCTGGGTCAGATCCCGTCTGCTTTCTAGGACATGAACTCGAGAGTGTGTGAATGAGACAGAAAGACTAAGTAAAAAAAGGTTACGCTTAATTTTACAGTACAGTACTTACGGTGTAATTACCTAGAAAGTACTGGCTAATATAAGGTAAGTACATGGAACAGGGGTAGGGTCAGTGGTAGGGTCAGGGTTAGTACTAGTTATTACCCAGTAATTGTAGTTACTAAAATAAGTACATAGTATTTACATGGGTAACTGGACCGTAAAAGGAAGCATTACCGAAAAACAAAAAACAAAAGAGGCGAAGATTACAGTTTGGCTAGATTCATCCCAAAGCTTCATATTATGTTAGAATATTCAGCGCAATGTCATCTAACAGCTGGTTACATATTTTTAAAAAACGTTTCCAATGGGAGTGCAACATTGCCATTTTTTTTCTTGTTCCCGAAGGTTGAAACATATTTTCAACTTTGAGTGAAACACAATGCTCATTGCTCATCGCTGTCACTTTTTATTTAGCCACCCAATCACAGTGGAGGAGAGGCGGGACTGACACCACATCGGCCAACCATCACATCCTGGGTGTACAACAACTTTCTATGTGGTTCAGCCATCTCCTCATCCGAAACGAGGGCCGGAGCAAGTACTTCACATTGTGTTGACCCAGTTTCACAGACTAAAATGCAAGTTTGACTGAAACAACTTAAAATATGTCAGTGCCATTGTTTTGTCTCAAAATGCACACCAAGGCATGATTATAAAAGCCACTTAAAAGTTCTAATTGAACTAAGGCCTAATCCTGGCTTAATCTAAGCCCTGTCTGTGAAACAAGGCCTTATATTCCAGCCCATTCTCACCCCCAAGGCGTCACCTAACTGACGCCTTGGGAAGCATTTGACCATGCTTCAATATCTGACGCTTTAGGCGCCCTTTAGCGTCAGTTAGATGACGCCCTAGGATCACGTGTACCCTACCCCCACCCCAGACCTAAACCTAAACCTTTCCTTTAGCGTCAGTTAGATGACGCCGTAGGATCGCGTCATGTAAGTGACGCTAAAGGGCGCCTAAAACGTCAAATATTGAAGCATGGTCAAAGGTGACGCCTTGGGGTGAGAATGTGTTGTATATTCAGAAACAAACCATCTATGAAATCAGAATCATGCTTTTTGCATTTGGCGTCCACCAAAACATTTTCAACTTTTTACTCTCGGCAACACACAGCAACAACAACTGCACTCAGCATGAAATAGATGCTCGGTACCTCATGCTGCTGGCGTTTTAAATACACAACGCTCCCTTTGAAAACAGTTGAAAAAATATGCTATCATTTGGAAACACTTTGATGGGCACACAACCTATAAGGCATTCAGATAGCTTTCACAGTGATTATCAAAACGTTTCAAAGTCCACACATGGAAAAAAAAAATGCACACATGGGCTTTTGCATTTAAACCAACTGAAGGGTTAAAACAGGTCATTTACATAATACATAATTCAGTGTAAGGGAGAACTCTCGTGTGTGTCTCTTTGGACGCTCTCCTTTAGAGATCTATTGAGTTTCATTATGTCTGTGTGGCAACTGAAGCTCCCTGGGTCAGTCAGATCCCCTCTGTTTTCTATGACGTGAGCTCGAGAGTGTGTGAATGAGACAGAAAGAATGAGAGAAAAAAAAACGAAAGAGGCGAAGATTACAGTTTGGCTAGATTCATCCCAAAGCTTCATATTATGTTAGAATATTCAGCGCAAAGTCGTCTCACAGCTAGTTACTGAAAATACAAGCTGTGAAAATCTGTGTCATTTCAGATCGGTAAGACTCTATGGGCTTTAATTTGGCCGATAATAACCCTGAAGTCACGCGTGGGTTAAGTAGGTCTCCGTCATCATAGGTAATGCAGACGACACATGAATAATTTACACATACAGGACGAGTGTGATGAGTATTCAAATGCATTCTGGACAGAGACACTCCTATGAATGCAGGTCAAATATCAGTACAGCTAATGGATATCAAACCAAAAATGCACATGAATAGAAACAATCTGGTTTGATTCAGTTTGTTACATGATAAAAATGGCATGCTTTTTTATTTTTCTAGACTGTTTAGCGGGGTCAGTCATACATTTGCATGCTCATAAAGTTTATTGCACTATAAACAGTGGTAATTTTTTTCATGACCATTTTCTAGCCTCTCTGATTATTACAATTAAACATGCTTTCGTTTCTGCTGCTGTGCCTTTATGGACGTCTATATGTAAATTGGCGCTTTGCATGTGAAATGATTATTCAAATGAATTATATAGTTGGCACTGCTTCATGCATTTTCAAAACAAACTCCCTCGCAAGGCCTGACAGGTTCACACAACAATCCACACAGAAATGTGACCCAACTGTTAAAGTTGGACTTGGACGTGATCAGGAACATAGTTGAACAAAAAAAATCTTTCCTAAGAAGATTATGCAGAGCTGTTGTGCAGTCTAACAACGAGGAATAGCGAAAGACTTGGCAGAGAATCTGAGTTAATGTTAGTTATACATAAACTGTATTCATAGTTACTTCTTTTGGTATTTAGGATAAATTGTTTCAATCCCACATTTCCCTTATTACTTCACCATGACTGGCCGAGGCCAAATTAAATACTGAAAAGGTCTTTTTGGAGTGGCTTGGAAATGTAAAAAAAAAAAAATAGCACAACCAGAGTGAAAGGACAGTACAACATTGGTGAACTCACAGTGATATAAAGCCATGTACACTATAAACTTTGGGGACAGTAAGATTTGTTTAAAAGAAATAGAAAATACTTAAGGATGCATTAAATTGATTCAAAGTGACAGTAAAAAATTTTGGTCAAATAAAATAAAATCGATTTCAAATAAGTCTTCATAAAAAATACAGAAAAAAACATTGGATCATGTGACACTGGAGTAATGGCAGCATAAAATTCAGCTTTACCATCAGAGGAATAAATTATATTTTCAAATATCTTAAAATAGAAAAGAGTCATTTTAAATTGTGGTGGGTTTTTTTCTGTTTAAATTATTTTATGTTGGTGACTATTTTGGATTTTTTTTGGTATTTGTGTTTTTCAAAAATTTTAGATCAGTTGTGACAGATCATCTTTATATAAATTGTATCTTGCCGAGTTGCTGTGTACTTGCTGTTTGCCTTCAGGAAGACCTTCGGGTCGAATATTTTATTCTTTTACTATGACTTATAAGCTGTTTTCCTGTTGGGGACCAAAAAATATCCCCACTTGGACAAGGATTTTGGATATTGCAATCTTTGTGGGGACATTTTGTCCCCATAACGTAGGGTTTACCTGAACCACACACACACACACACACACACACACACACACACAGAGGGTGCGGTTCATACCAAGACACCATTCTGTGAAATTCCACACTTTGTGACGATTCTGAAGGACCTGACATGAGAAAAAAAGCACATATCTGCTGGCTTTACCAGACTATCAAGAGGATGTCCAGCAAAGTCACCCACACATATGAAAACGAGACTTGATCTCCATTTGCATGTGTACGGTCACGGATGGATCTACCAGCTCCAATCAACTCTTTAACACTCCAACCAGTAATTTACAAAACGTGAGGGAAAAGGTCATCTGATTTTCCACAAAGGATATTTATTCTAATTACATCAAGAAAAAGAGAGATTATAGCTGCAGCCTGGGATCATTAGCAGGCTCACAATAGCAGTCATAATGAACCTTGTTCTCATTGTTTAGCCTGCACTGCATAAATGACCTTAACCTATTGAGACCTTCCACTACAAATGCGAAAGTCAACAATGATTCCAACAACTTTCAATGGTGAACTAACTGATGAACACGCTGTCCAAATCATTCATGACTGGCTTTATATCACAGAACTGTCAAAAGGTAACTGACCGCAGGCATGAGATGTATCTATAGTTTGGCAAAAACCCATTAGCAACAATATGAAATTTAAACAAACTGACTGCCTGTATAAATAAATAGACATCTTGTGACCTTGAAGACTGGACACTAACAGTAGTAGTTTAAATAAAGGCATAGTGAGCATAGGAGACTTCTTTCAAAAACCATAGAAAAATGTAATATCAAGGGACTGTTTGGTAGCTCGACCCAGAGTATAAATAGACATCTTGACTTGAATTTCGTTCATAAATATAGGGACATTAAGTGTCTGTTCGACGGCTTGAGAGCACAGAAACTAATTTCGAATTGCCTCAGTTTGTAAACAAGAAACAAAAAAAATGCACTGACAGACCTTAGGAAATAATTCATTGTTTTGCTTCGTGTAAAGCAACTAATAGCAAAGCTAATCAAAACCAGTAATTTTTTAACTGATTTTAGTGCAAACCTCATAAAATGTTTTGATTTGATCCTCCAATGGTTCAGTTTGTGCTAAACTGACAGTGCTGGTATAGGCACCATGCGGTCTCTGTTACCTCAGTAGATATAAATATCTGATTTATCACCTACAGTAGATTTCCATTTGCACTCTCTAACTTCTCAACAAACCTTCACACCTACACAATGTTACAGATGTCACACAACATAATGTAAATCCTCTTGATAGATATATAAGCAATACATTAGAGAGAAAGAATATTTTTAGTCAAAAAGTCACACGCACATGATTGTCAGTGAACAGCCAGTGACATAAAACACATCATCTATCAGCATGTGACAGTGTATTTGTATTCATCAGCATTTATAATTGAATATTTGCCAACTGCAGTACGTATTCAGTATGATCAGACGTCATTTGGTAACAGCTGGGCAGACGCCAACCCTACATTTTCCGCTGCAATACAATACAATACAATCTTCTGACCTAATTTTCAACTAATTTTAACCCCTGGCTATTAGAAGGTTCATATTCATATCTCAGTCCAAACAAAATACCGGAGACATTGACATATAGCCTGCACATAAAGTTAGCCAAAATATGTTCAGCATGGTCCATTCTTACAAAAAAGAGAACACGGATTAATACTTACTCCATCGGTTCAATAAGCTGTTCATAAGCATCATGGGGAGATGGTGATGGTCAGCTTCCTGTGACTGCTTCTAGGAGAGACCACACAAGTATGAGCAAGAGAAAATGATACCTAAACATGCATTACAGTATAGCAATACACTATAGAATACAGCACATTCTGTGTAAGATGAAGTGTTGAATGACTAGGCAGTGTTTATTTTCTTCTCTCCATTTTTTTTTTTTTTTTTTTTTTTTGCAAAGCTAGATCTTGTCTACGCTTATAAAAGATAAAGTAACAGTGTTAGATAACTCTTCTTAAATAAACTTGCTAGATAAAGATCATTTGATTGTACATTTGGACACAAGTTTGAAATTAAAACAGAATCCCTAAAAAGAAAATAATATATATTTTTAAATTTTACTATATTTTATATTATTTATATATATATTAATAAGCTATATTTTAACTATATTTTATTATGCGTCTCATAACTGAACGAAATAACAGTGCAATCTTGTATTAAAAAACAATTAGCCTACACCATCCATGAGATACTTAATATTATGTTCTACATAAAAATATCTGAATGGTTACTAATATTCAGTAAACAAACACATTGTTATCTAAATATGAACTAAACGGTATCCTGCAATATAATTTCTAATTGAATTACAAGAAAGGAAAATAGCCACTTACAAAAAGAAAGGAAAATAGCCACTTACAAAAACACCTGCCTCACTCAAAAATCTTTCTGGCACCCTCCAGCGAAAACGTTCGTTAGATGTTGATGGTCCATCAAAGCGTGAATCTACCGAATCCACGGTGTTATGAAGACTTCCTCCTCCAGACCAGGCGCGCAGCTCAGTGCGCATTCACGCTGATCCGCGCGCTTTGCTGTTCACAAGCACAGAACGCGCGCACAGCTCAAGTCAATAAACGTTTGATCAGTTGCCATAGGAACCATAGGAACCTGCTGCGAGATCATAGACTGTAAAGAGATGAATCCTTCATGCTGATCAAAGGCTCCACTTATCTGCGCATACACTTCTCAGACTGCAAATCTGTGGCACTTTCAACACGCGATATAGGTTTTTTTTACTACTGATGATCATTTTTGTTTGCAGAATGAACAATCTTTCACAAGACCACTGTCCCTCTGACGCCCTCTAGTGATATATAAATGGAAATTTAAGGACTATTTCCGAGTGAGAGAGAGAGAGAGAGAGAGAGAGAGAGAGAGAGAGAGAGAGAGAGAGAGAGAGAGAGAGAGAGAGAGAGAGAGAGAGAGAGAGAGAGAGAGAGAGAGAGAGAGAGAGAGAGAGAGAGATTTTATTTACAGTGCTGGTCAGAATTATTTGCCCCTTTGGTAAAAATATTATCAAAGATGGCTGTAAAATTAAAAAAATAAAATAAAACAATCTAACAATTTATTGAAGTTAAAGAATTGAAAGTGAAGTTGGGGAAGATTATCTTGGAAAAGGAGGTCGCAAAAAGTACTTAATAAAAGGGGCAAATAATTCTGGTATCAAATGTTCTAATTTGTTACACTATTTAAATTTAGGTTAAGCTATTATCCTATTATCTTTATGCTTTTATTATTATTCTAAGTATTCCACACTCTGGCAATATTATATTATTTAGTTATGCCAATAAAGCAATTTTGAATTTGCGAGAGAGATCAAAATTCTGTCATCATTTCCTCACCCTCATGCTGCCCCAAACATGGCATTCTGCCTACAGTGGAATGTAGGTAATGAGCTGACAGAATAATTGTGAACTACGGTATTCCTTTAAATCTACACTATTACCATATCATAATGAGCAAAAAGAAAAAAAAAATATGAAAAAGCAAAACTAAAGGCAACTTCAATTTATTCAAATAATCAACCAGATACAATATATAGAATTATCAGTAATGAGATCAGAGGATGCTGTAAAGAGCTCAAACATGCTTCGAAATGAAACTGTGTGAATATGACGGCATGCATTTTTGTAACATGTAAACAGCCCTCTCAAAAGTGCTCAAAACGCAATCTCTTTTGTGATATGGATGCAAACATTGACCCTAGCCCTTCAAGAAATACTGGGCAGATACAGTGAGGAATTATATTGAGAGGTTAGAAATATACAGTACAGCATTCTCTTCAATATACACCTCTACAATCAATCAATTCAAAGTACCGTTCACATGGTCAGTCTCTGAGAAAATGGCTATTAATTGGAAACTGAAAGATGATTTCAGCTGGTTAATTTTGCTCCTAGTTTTGATCATCCGGAAGAAAACATGGTTGCAGAAGCCTTCATTTAAAGTTTTCAATTAACATGCATCATTTGAATTATGATAACATTCTAATGTGCAAAGATACATCTCTCTCTATATATACATTTAGATTTTCTATATAAATATTTAATCTGGGAACGGTGCTTCTATGGTCCTGAATATATTATTTATTTAAAGGTGCAGTATGTAATATTGAAAGCTAGTGGTCGAAATGGGTACTACAGTCCAAATTCATAATATGGAAAGTTGTTCCCCCGTCCCATCCTCTTCAGACTCTACACTCACGCAGGTTGCCAGATTGAGGACATGCAACAGAAACGAGTGGAGTTGACAATGGAAATGTAAGTTGCCCTAATGTACACGTTTGCAAAGTTTTATTTCCAATGAGGTTTTTTTTAGGTCGAGAAGAATCTACAACCTCTGACCCTGTTCGTTTGCTGGCTTCCATGGCTGCGAAATTCTGTTTTCCGGCAACTGGCAACCCGGAGTGTCTAAATATTATTAGGTGAATTGGAAGTAGGCGGGGTCACACAGACCAAAAACAAAAACAGGCATTGTCAAAGTATTATAAAGTTGTTTTTCTGAGAAACAAGTATTGGAACTTAGAATGTTTCCTAAATCTCTAAACGCATCACATTTTTTATGACAAAATATGTCCACAAAGCACCTTTAAAAGGTCATCAAAATCTGTTCAGCAAATGTCCACTTACATACAGTGGTATTGTATAGCCAGCTTGGGTTTGTCAATGTACATGCATATTTGACTCAATATTACAAGTTTCCTTCAATTTTAAATAATCAACATCCAATAGAACAAACACAAAGGACCAACCGAGCGACTCTGTCCAGAACTGCACCACAATGTGAGATTTCTTATGCATAGTAATAGTACCTACACAAAAATAAATCTCTACAAGAGAGAGGGGAAAAAAATAGTACTATAAAACAGCAATGTTTAACATGCAGGGGGAAAAATGTTGACGAAAAAAAAGGTATAGAGTTTACTTTAGTTACAAGTTAAACCAACAACATACATTCAACCTACTTGTGCAGAAACGATCCCCTGATACATGGAAGCATGAACTATGTTATAAATTTCAGTGGTGGAAAAGCACCATCACTCAGACATTTTGAAACTACAGCTAAAACGATCATAGAAAAATAATCAACACATGAGATACATGACCATAGTGCACATTGAGAAAATCTCAACAGGGCTTTGGACTATTTTTGCTAACTTTAAAACTGAGCTTAAGCAAGTTACTATATTTCTACACTTATCTAAAATTCTACAATTCTATTGTACCAAAAAAAAAGACTCTGCACATGTACTGATGATCTATGCTACAGTTATGAGTATGAAAATGTAAGGCATACATTTGTGTCAAAACAGACTGACAAACATTGATTCCTTTAAGTGAAAAGTCATGCATAGATTGCACAAAGTTATTGTATTTCCTCAAGAACGTTAGAGTATAGAAATGACTAATTCACTCTGATCACGACAAAGTCGGGAATGCACTACTATGTGGCATTTTGGTAATTCTACAGAGGAAGCAAAAGATACTGTTACCTTCATGATTAAAAGGGTCACGTTACTTTACATACAAGGAGAAGAATGGTCACGATGCCTATAGTGGCACTATCTAGATGTTATTAGCGCCTATTGAATAAATAATTCAACTACTATTCAAAAACATGCTATGCATAATACTCTGATCTCTTGGATTTGGACTTTGTTGTATTAAAAAAAAAAGTCCATTTGTGGTCCTGTTCACTGTCTACAGCGCAGACATTATAATACAAACACAAAGCGGTGTGATTTGATATATAAACAAACACACACATACAAACATATCTGTATTTTCTTTAAATCGCACCTGAAGTGTCTCCTTACTGTATTTATACATATTTCCAGGCTGCAAATTTGAATTATTAAAAACTCATTTAAAACTTACAAAAATTGAAATTTTTTTTATTTATGTTTTTATTATTATTTTCAAATTTTATCTTTGATCAAACAAACCAGATTTTTTTAGATTTTCAAGTTGAAATTATTATTAAACTCCAAGCTATTTTTCTTTTAGTTCTAATAATCTAATAAGAGATCTGTAAAACTGCAATCAAGCAGCATGTCTCTGTAACCGATGAGTTAATGGACCAACCTAACAAATCATACATTTCTCCTAAAGACGTATTAGAGAACATTGTGTGCAAATTTGAGGATTTTTAATTATTAAAGGGCGTTTATTAATTTATTTCACCAAATTTTGTCAAACTTGTTTGTTTGTTTTTTTCAGAAGATTTTCAAAATTAAAATAATTTTGAATGATTATTTTCAAATTTACGTCAGATCTCCAAAACTGAAATCAAGCGGAACGTCTCTCTAATTAATGATCTATGGACAAACCTAAGAAATTGTACACTTCTAAAAATAATTTTCATCCGTTTAGCCTTCAGTGGCGCCCCCTAGCTACAGTAGAGGAGTAAAGCAGAGTCTCCGTTCTGGAGAGGAGAGCACAGAAAACGGGTCCTGAGAGACAGCAGAGACCTGGGCGGACAGATACGGTGCATGCTGCTGTGGACTGTACAAATGCATGCATGAACGGGTGGGCACCCTCCACATCAACAACGCCCCAGCCCCAGGTCCATATCCTGGGCTTCCGGAAGCCACAACAGCCCCATCTTGACGCATTTCCCTCGAGTAAGATGCCCACAGTTATCAGGACAGAACTTCATCCTCGCCCACGAAGGGCAGGTCCATGCTCCGCACGCCTTCCTCGCTCTCTTGTTTCCTAGGAAACAGACAAATGTGGAGGTTTAAAACAGTCACTGCATTCCTGCGGCAATGCAGACTGCTGTTAAGTGCAACTAGAACTGTTAGGCAGTGGGGAAATTAAGTCAGCGCGAGGGGAAGTACATGGCATCGCATCAGTCATATGCTCGGGTCACGAGGCGGCACAGGAGGTTGACTGACTGCCATGTTTTTGCAAGGGGTTGTACCGGCGAGGCTGGGATGCGGCGCCACATGCAAATGCACCCAGTCCGACAAACCAATCAAAGTCCTTGTAAAAATTGACCATGGCTGGGTGGCAAATCAGGATGCTCTTTTCTTTTCGTAGCTGATATTATGCATGAAAACATCATCCTGAACTGCCCATGAACTTATATGTATCTGTTAAAACATTACATGCAATATAAATGCTTGATGTACTATTATTGAACATAGCTTGTACAGTTAAATACACACAAGAGGTTTTTAGAAGGGGGGAATATCATGAATATTTTAGATATTACATGCACAAAATGCTGTTTATTAGGTAGGAAAACACAAGCGGAGTAGTTGTTATTCATTAAGCCATCTGAATGAGAATTGTTTTGATCTTAAAAGCATGCTAAAAAAAACACCACATCATTCATTTTAAGTGCAGACCATTCAATATGGGCATGACCATTATCTCCTACATATAATACAGGTGGAGGAGAGTGAACAGGACATAGGTGGAGCGCTAACAGAGCTTTACCTGCGGGTACAGAGATTGCGGCAGTATTTCAAACTCCCTGCTCTCCCTTTTCTAGACGGCAGGAGAGATGCGGATATGTGAGAATACTTAAATCCGAGCTTATCTACCAAATATTTCTGAAACCATGACTAAACAAAAGCCTTAAAGGGATACTCCACCGCTTTTTCATATTAAACTATGTTATTCCCTTAACTAAAAGGAGTTGATACATGCCTCTCTCGTCTATGGTCGCGCGAGACACTTTGAATGGTGACAGAAAATAAAACGTTGCACTTTCCTAAGCGTGTAAAGTGGATAATTATAATGTAAGGCGGAATACCACAGCAAGAGATTGGGAGCACTTCGACTCGGCGCATATACATCTATGGACTCGGCGCAGTAAATATCATCACTCTGGAAAGGGAGATTTTTCACGAATGACGATATTACTACGCCGAGTCGAAGTGCTCCCAAGCACTTGCTGTAGTATTCCGCCATACAATATAGTTATCCACTTTACATGCTTAGAAAAGTGCAATGTTTTATTTCAACTTGTGTAACTGTATTTAAATAGGGAAAACGAGGAGGTGTTTGGTCGCTTCTCTGCTTGGCCCACATTGAATGAACTGGGCTAGTAAGTGCTATCAAAGTGTCTCGCGCCAGAGCGATTGAGGTATGCATCAACTCGTCTAAGGGATTAACATATTTTAATATGAAAAAAACGGTGGAGTATCCCTTTAAAAGAATGTTTCATGCTAAATACTACTCAAACATGCCATTGATTACCACAGAAAATAATTTATACTCGTCTCTATGGTTTTAAAAAGTAAAGTAACGACAAGCTTAGCAAAGCTAATATTACACGCTAATATTATTGTGCTAGGTAGTAATCAACCTAGAATATCATTGCAACAGTGTGCATAGCTGTAAAGGGGGTGCTCATGAGTCAAAAATATCAAATGAGTGCTATGTGTAAGAAAATGCATACTTCCCTTGTATATAATAGTAGGTGAAAAAAGTAGTATGTCCAAATTTAAGTATTCAAAAAAAGTAACCGGATGACCTAAAACTTTTGGTGATAATCTGGCATGTGTATCCGATGGGCTCTTTACTATCCCATGAGGCAACGGGAGAGGATCTGTGAGTGGCAGTGATGTGACGCAACTAACACTGTGGCTCACATGACAGAGTCAACATGGTGAATGTAGTACATTCATACTATATAGAACGTACTTAAAAAAAAAAAAAAACAGTATATGATTTTGAATGCATCTTATGGTGTTGTGGATTTAATGGATGCACACAAGTGAAAGTCACAAGTCCACATCAAATGAGCCAACTAAACGTATTTTTCCATGTACATTTCTGAAACGCACTTTCTGTAAAGCTGCTTTGAAACGATATGTATTGTGAAAAGCGCTATACAAATACATTTGAATTGAACTAAGAGAAAATAACCGTTTGTTTTTTTTTAAATGTAATTAATTCCTGTGACGCAAAGCTGAATTTTCATCAGCAATTACTCCAGAAATCACATGATCCTTCAGAAATCATGCTAATAGGCTAATTTAGTGTTAGAGAATAATTTCTTATTGTCATCAATGTTGAAAACAGTTGTGCTGCTTCATATTTTTGTGGAAAACCGTTTTCCCTGTTGTATTAGAAATAGAAATATTTTGAAACATTATAAATGTCTTTCCTGTCACTTTTGATCAACTTAATGCATCTTTGCTGAATAAATATATTAAAGCATAGCTTCCCTACCAGGCTTTCAGTGCAATGCTGTAAACAACTTTTTCATTTGTATTTAAGGAATTGAGGAAGTAGTCAAAATTATTTTCTGTGGAAATGCTTTGCATAGACATCAAACATTATTTAAGCTGAAAATACATCATTAAAGTATTACATTGGAACCTAGTGTAGTGACATAGCATTTTATATAGTGCATCTATATTAGTAGTTCCAATTAAATTACTGTCAAACCAGCTATAAAAACCATTTCAGATTTTCAATGATCACTGAAACCACTGCCGAAGAACAAGTCTAGGTTCAGGACGTCTGTTTCACTTATAGCTCATCCCAACTGCGAAAGACTTACGATAGCATGTGTCCTGGAGCGGTGGGACTCCTGTCTTCCCTGCGGCCCCAATCAAACGGGTTTCCAAAAGAACGCTTGCGCAACATAGTCCTAACCAAGATCTGTAGCAGAGAACATGCAGTACGTTTCAAAAACAGGCATTGGGTCATTAATCTGTTATTCATTTGATGTGGTTATTAGCACTGAATCCCTTTATGCGTATTCATAAAACAGAATTAAGGTTGTGTAAATAGGCCACAAGGGGTTTGAGATCTCACCACGGTGGCCAGGCTGGGGATGTGCTTGACAGAGTTTTCCACTTCCTCCTCTGTCACTTCTATTAGACTGCAGCAGTTGTCGTCCTCAGGGGGGAGGGGCTCAGCGCCATTCCGTGTCACCCATGGGTGCACCTACAACAACAACAACGGAACAAAAATCCAGCTTTGATATCATTAATTAACTCGAGGCTGTGTCTAGGTTGCTGGAGTGTCCTATATTCACACTGGAAGTGCTTTGAAATCCTCTTTTAACAATAAGGAAGAGTTCTATTTTTGGTTCAATTGAAGTATGAAGGCTAAATATAACATTATAAGAAACACTACACTATCGTGTAACAAAACAAATGTTCGGGGTCAGTGAGAGTTGTTCCAAATGTTCTGTTGAACACAAAAGAAGATAGTTTGAAGAAAATGGTAACCAGACAGTTGATTGGACCCATTGACTTCCATAGTATTTTTTTTTCTTCCATACTCTGGAAGTCAATGGTTACGGTCAACTGTCTGGTTATCATATTCTTCAAAAGTAAAATGTGAAATGTATTCTTCAACTCATTCAGGTTAGGGACAACTTGAGGGTGAGTAAATTATGACAGACTTTTCATTTTCGGGTGAATTATCCCTTTAAGACTTATTAAACATTAAGGATCACAAGTTTATTCAATATTGGCATATATAAGGCATATATCATCTCAATATATCAAAATATATATAAAATAAAATTGCAGTTATATTTCACAATATTCCGGATTTTCTTGTATTTTTGATCAAATAAATGCAAACTTGGTAAGAATATGAGACTGTATAAGTGGAAAAACAAAACATCAACCAATGGAGCGATCCTGGGGCAAAACTGCTCGTTTTTCTGACCAATCACAGATGAGGACTAGCTTTCAGAAAATGTTATTGGTGTCGTTAGAGTCATACTGACCTTGATTTGTGGGACAGTAATTCTGGTTTCGGGATTCTTGTCCAACATTTTAAAAAGAAGGTCCTTTAAGTCATCTGATATGTCCGCGCTGTAAAGTGGTACAAAAATGCTATCAATATCAAAACAGATGGGGAAGATCTTTCAGGCTCAAGAGAAATACTCACTTCTCGGGAAGCTCCACCGGTTGGGCCTTGATCTTCTGATGGAGGCTCAAAATACGCTCATCCATAAAAGGACACTGTGGAGAGAGTCAAAGGCAACATCCATTTTACACACTTTACACAGTTTTGCAAAGTTAAATGTTAGATTATTTTTAACATTGCATATTTCATGAGAAATACTAAGGTCAAAACAGGGCGTACCACTCCAAAGATGAAACAGTACAAGGTGACTCCCATAGCCCACACATCCAGAGCCTATAAGAACATGATGTTAAAATTAACAGCAATACGACAGGTTATTAGCCACTAGCTTAGAGAAACTAGCTTTTGACCTTTCCAGAGAAGTTCTTGCGGGTCTCTGAAAGGGTCTCTGGGGCAAGAAATGCAGGCGTTCCCACTGTGCTGGTCAGCAGGGCGTCCGTTCCCTCAAACTGGTTACTGACCCCAAAGTCGGCAATCTTAATGTGACCATCTTCTCCCACCAGCAGGTTGGAAGGCTTGATGTCCCGATGGATGATTTTCTGATAATGTACTGTTGAGGATGAGTAGTTGACATCACTTTTGATTGTTATTTAAAGCATTCTGATGACTAGCAACAAGAACTGTATTTTCACTGTTTTATGCATATGCAGATGAAAACAAAGCACTAATCTGATGCTATTGCTACACAAAGCACTCATTTTTATGCTATTGATACACAAATTTACTTTAAATGTCAGTCAGATGGCTTCTTCCTGTATAAGTTGGAGTGCTGTTGTCGTTAACTAAAACTATTAAAAAAGTTATATAAAATATAAATATTGCTTAAAGATTTTACATGAAAAAAAAACTTGTATTGGTAAACTTGTATTAGTAACTAACTGAAATATAAAAGACGATTAAGTATTAAAATTAAACTTAATGATTAAAACTTGAAAAATGAGGATAAGATAGTGTAAATTTTAAGACAAAACATAATAATTGTTCTAATAGTATAAAAAATTACAATATGTAGGCGATAAGAATGACAAAAGCACAACAAAGTGACTAAAACCTAAACATAAAATAAAAATCTGAATATATACTGTATATATATATATATATCAAAATATTAATACATACTACACTCACCAAGGATTTTTAGGAACACCTGTTCAATTTCTTATTAATGTAATTATCTAATCAACCAATCACATGTCAGTTGCTTCAATGCATTTAGGGGTGTGGTCCTGGTCAAGATAATCTCCTGAACTCCAAACTGAACTTCAAGCAAAGCATTTGTGAAGCCACAACATGCACAACGTTGAGGCGGATGGACTACAAAAGCAGAGGACCTTACTGGGTACCACTCATCTCCACTACAAATAGGAAAAAGAGGCTACAATTTGAGCTTGCCAAAATTGGACAGTTGAAGACAGGAAAAATGTTGCCTGGTCTGATGAGTCTCGATTTCTGTTGAGACAATCAGATGGTAGAGTCAGAATTTGGTGTAAACAGAATGAGAACATGGATCCATCATGCCTTGTTACCACTGTGCAGGCTGGTGGTGGTGGTGTAATGGTGTGGGGGATGTTTTCTTGGCACACTTTAGGCCCCTTAGTGCCAATTGGGCATGGTTTAAATGCCACGACCTACCTGAGCATTGATTCTGAACCCCATCCCTTTATGGCCACCATGTACCCATCCTCTGATGGCTACTTCCAGCAGGATAATGCACCATGCCACAAAGGTTGAATCATATCAAATTGGTTTAAGGTACTAAACTAAAATGGGCACTGTAGGCACTAAAAGGCACTGTACTAAATTGGCCCCCACAGTCACCAGATCTCAACCCAATAGAGCATCTTTGGGATGTGGTGGAACGGGAGCCATGTGCCATGGATGTGCATCCAAATCTCCATCAACTGCAAGATATTATCCTATCAATGTGGGCCAACATTTCTAAAGAATGCTTTCTGCACCGTGTTGAATCAATGCCATGTTGAATTAAGGCAGTTCTGAAGGCGGAAGGGGGTCAAACACAGTATTAGTATGGTGTTCCTAATAATCCGTTTGTGAGTGTATAATACTACATAAAAAGAAGGCTATACAATATTAGAAAAAAATATATATATACTATTAATAAATACTATAATAGTATATAAATAATACTAAAAAAACACTGCTAAGTGGGTTGTACTTAGCCAGAATAATCGTTGTGGAAAGTCTAAAAGTGTGGCCCCATATAACTTATCAGTGCCAAGCCAATTGCAAGGTACTGTGCCCTTTTATCTGGATGTACTAGAACCAATCATGAGTACTGATGACATCGCTAAGCTTAAGCTAAATTCCCGCACTCACAATATTCGATTCCTCTCAGCAAGTCCTGGAAGTAGAAGCGTGCCTGGTCCTCATCCAGGGGCTTATCAGCAGGAACCTCCATCACTGCTCTGCAAACACATGGGGAATGAGACACAGTTTCTGTAGCAGAGTGACACTAGCACAGCAGGGGGCGGCGCTACAATCAGAAATAACATGCTTACTCACCCTCGTTTGACAAGCTCGAATACTGTGAAAGCACAAAGGAAGAAGAGTTAAGGTGTTGTACATTACATTCTCTGGCTTCACATACATTAAGCACCGAAAAGTAGAATAAATTGTGCATGTGGAAGTGTGTAGCATCTGCGAAGAGGATGATTATCTGGCCAGACTTACCCATGTACAGATGGTCTTCACTTGGATCATCCAGCACCTACACACAAAAAAAACAACAACAACCCAAAGCTGTTTAGAAAGAGAACGAAACCAGTGAGCATAAAACTTAGATTCAATTTGATGCAAATACAAACAAGGCTTTGAGGAAAAAAGAAATTTGTCCAATGGAAATTCATGGAGAGGCTTATTTTAAGTGTTTATTTGACTAAATAACAGCTGCCCTATATACATATATCAATCAGTACATTGCAAATTAATAAATTTTCCTGTAAAATATATAAAAAAAACAGTTGGTTTCCTCTTCATATTATAATTTTTCTTTGTTGCATTAACCTCACTACATATTGTTAGATTTATGGTTAAAATTGTCTCATTTTAATTATCAGTTTTCCGAAAGGTTTAAACATTTTACTAGAAACAAAGCAAAATTAATTTTTGCAGTGTATAACACACTGTATATCTATCCCTCACTGTTTCACATTCATTCATGGTTAAAATTCTTTTTCCATCCCAGTTTAATAAATGTATAGGTATTAATAAATGTATTTAGAAAGACCTGTTCGAAAACAGTCATTCTTTTTTAGAAGAATTCCACTTCCATTAGTGGGGCATAAATTACACACTTCACCCTGACTTAAGTCTGTGAGAATAGAAGCACCCACCTCCACAAGCTTAACCACATTAGGGTGATCAAGCTTCTTGAGGATGGCTATCTCCTGGTAAACACGCTCCAGGGGCCCTTTGGGCTGAGGGGGGCCCTCAGGGGCCAATCTTGCCCCACGAGGAGGAGGTCTGCCTGTTTAAACCAGCAAAGAGGAAATCATGTGAAAGGTTGAATTATTAGGCGTTCTGCTAGCTGATGAAAGTGCGCCCCCAAACTCACACACATACACTCAATCATAAACCCCGCTGTGCGTTCCATCTGCTTTAAAGCAGACACTTACGCGGGAACCCAGCCTGCCTCATCAGTCGTTTCTTGGACAGCACTTTCATGGCCTGTGGAGAGCAGTGAGAATGAGAGAGTGAGAGCAGATATCCAGTGTCATTACTGGTGCTGGGTAACATATGCCCCATTCTACAACCAGCACTGTGATACATACAACTACACCAAAAAATGGGGAAAAAAAGTTCTAATAACCAATCAGAACAAGGGGCAAATTTTAATTAATATCAAATTACTTCAACAACAACATATTATATTCTTATTCACTCAGTGCTACAGAATATCAATCAAGCTTTATTTATATTAATTTATATTAATAATATTAATTATTATTATCAAGATAAGGAGAATATTCCATCTTTAAATTAAATTGAAACCATTTATAAAATCTCAACAATACACAAAGGCAAGAATATGAAAACATATAAATCACAAACATTAACTCTTTCCCGACCAGCGTTTTTTTTTTTTTTTTTTTTTAAGTTGCCAGTCACCGCCAACGCCAACATTTTCACAAAATTTTAATGGCCCCCAGGATATTTTTTTGTATTTTTTGTAACAAAGAACAGAGCGTCTGCTTTTAAACAAACAAAACAAAAAAAACTTTAAACAAAAAACAATTTTTAATGCATCCATTTTAGTCTTAAAGCATTCTTTTTTTATCAACACTTGAATGTGGGCAAGTTTCATAAAAAAGCAACATTTTGACTAAAAAGCTGAGAAATTCACGTTCTCAGCGGCAATCCACTTGTCACTCAAATACCCACACCCTTAATTATGCCGAACTTTAAGGCTTAATATTATTTAAACAGATGAGTTATAAAAAATATATATATCATATCAAAATTACCTTCCTCACAGTTGAAGTGCAAAATTATCAATTAGCAAAAAAAATAGCAACTGCAATTTGCAGTTTAAGTCTCTTCCGTGTTGGATTCAAGAGAGGAAGGTTGCCAGTAGTTTTTGACAACATCCAGATCGGATTCAGAACGATGATCAACACATAGATTGAGTAGATTGATTCCATCAACACCCCAAAAGCTTCACAATCCTATAGACCATTTCACAAGATGTAAACAACACTGGTCCAGAAGCACTTCCTGTTTCAGTTTGTAACTGTTTTTTTTATTTCACATGTAAAGAAAACATCTTTAAGATGTTTGTTTAACTTTTTGATTCAGTTTTAAATGTTCTGTTGGTTGTATTTTATCCCAGCTTTTATGTAGTGTTAAAAAACTGAAACAGGAAGTGCTTCTGGACCAGTGTTGTTTATATCTTGTGAAATGGTCTATAGCTTGTCCAGAGTCGACATTTCATTCAGTATCATTAGGCAGTTTTGATTTATATGCCGTTTAATGTTGATGATTGTGATTTTTTACATGCCTCTGCTTGGATATGCTATCGCATGTTTCTGCTTCTTCTTCACATGTTTTTTGATCAGGAGATTTAGCTCTCTTTCAGAAGATGTGTCATAGCGCCCCCTACCGTATAACAGCGAAAACACAAAAAAAACGGAAATATACGTCAATGGCAGGGAAAGAGTTAATAGAAGAGTTAGCTGGATTATGAGGCAATGGGCTTGTGCAGAAAAACTACATATCCCATCATTCTTTTAAAAAAAATACAGCATACCAAATTTTTAGGCTTTTCTCTTTATTTTGTTGCATTACTAGTATGAACATGTCCATTTTACTCCAATACAAATAACTTGAATGCACATTATGATTTTGTAGCCCGTAAGGAGGAACTTTCTGAGACGATTTGAAGTCAGCCTGTGATGGTGTCTATGCGACCATTTTTGGCTGCTGAAGGGGACCTCAACTAGGCAATTATAATTCAAAGATCACTGGTAACACTAGGATGTTAGCTCTTTACTCGCCTAAATAAAACTGAAATGAAGTGTGTAAATATTTGTGTGCGAGATTGTTAAGAGACCGGGTTGCATCACTTACATAGTATGTGTTGTCGTCTTCATTGTACGCCAGCTTGACAACTCCATAGGAGCCCTTTATACAAAAACAAGGTGCGTCATTCAAAAATTGCAGTTCAGTAACAAGCATTAACTGAGGGAAACAGGAAGCTAAAGTGTCCAAGCATTTTTGCCATTTGATTAACTGGAGAACATGTAAACCAAACCGAGCCAGTACGCAACAGCCGGTGTCATGATGAACTCCACAGACAGGCATAATTCCACTTCTGTTCTGTCTCTATCTCTCTCAAACCTACACACACACAGGTCCCAGCTGGGAGAGCAGATTGCCATTCCAGCAGGGTATCCAACCCTTAGACACAAGAGATGAGAGCAGAGCAGGAATCTCCACATCCAAGCTAACAGTTTTCCATGCCCTTGTATCAAGATGAAGCTTAGTGGAACAGCAACAGTGAAAACACTTCACTGCTCCATTAAACTGCAATTCTGCAGTACTATAAATATTGTCGTAAATTCATTTCATGCTCTTATCCTGCTCTATGCTTCTTAGAATAAAGTGCAGTGGTAGTACTATGGTTTATTGATGGCATCAGACGGGAAAACCATGGTAATTTGCTATATATATATATATATATATATATATATATATTGATCACCATATTCATATCCCACAGTCCAAAAACAAGAAACATGGTAAAACACGTTGTCTTAAAACACATTTTGTTTCAAAACATGGTACATGTCTATTCTATTCTATTCTGTTCAGTTCTATTAAATAGTATTCCATGATAATTTAAACACCATGGCATTACCATGGTAGCATGGTCATAAAAAAACATACATTTATTTAATTAATTTTAATATATTAAGCAATTGTGCCTAAAAGAAAATCTTCCTTGTTTTAGAAATGTTAAACAATAAAGCAAAATACTAATTAAATTATATTTGAAGTGTACAACATTGTTACAACTGTTACAAACTGGATTCTCTATTCTATTCCATTAAAAAAAACATGATGATTTTACTTAAATTCTGAATGGTCAATAGTGTCAATCTGTATTTTTTTTTTATTTTATACATACAACGTTTGAGATTGGTAAGAATTTACCAAGAAATAAGCAACTTATGCTCACCATGGCTGCACTTATTTGTACAGTAAAAACAGTAATATTGTGAAATATTATTACCATCTTTAAATGACTGTTTCCTACTTTAATATATTTTAAAGATTTATTTATATCATTCCTGTAATTGCAAAGCTGAATTGTCAGCAGCCATTCCTCCAGTTTTCAGTGTAACATAATCCTTCAGAAATCATTTGCATAATTTACCATACAAACATGGGAGATATTAGTTTGTTCCAAAATAAGAACAACAGCACAATTAATATTTCAACAGAGCTCTCATTCATCTCACTCTTAACAGTAAACGATCTAAGCATAAATAATAAATGAAAAATCAACATACCTTTCCGATTTCATCTTTCAGCTTGTACTGGTTGAGCTGCACACAGTCCTTTTGAAATAAAGAAACAAATTTCCTTGATCAGTGACACCGAGTTCTTTTTAAGGGGGTTTTAGTCACTGAAGGACAACTACTTCAGCCAGTTTGGCCAAAGATCACAGCAAACATAAAATTGATTCTCTCATCAAGAATGATGCCCGCAACAGTCCAGGTTCAAAGAATCAAAAGCATTAGCAAAAGAAGTACTACAGGGAGTACTTGAGCCGAGAAAGGCTAAAGCCACACACATTTCTTGCTGATTTCATGTCCTAATGGAAAAGCAGAAGCATCTATTGGGGAATTTTCTCTTGACAAGCACCATTAAGAGGAGGGGAATTGCTCCTTTCAGTAACCTTACCTTACACACCGTCTCAACCTTGACTTTGCAGACTTGAAGCCAGTGCAGAGAATGAAGAAAAGGAATTGATCTTCTCAAAGACAACATCAGTTCTCAAACAAGCTCAGGCCACCACATCTGGTTGCAAAAGTTTGGAATTATTATGATTTTTTAAAAATATTTTTGAAAGTAGTCTCTTATGCTCACCACGGCTGCATTTATTTGATTAAAAAAAACAGTACCATTGTGAAATTTTACAATTCAAAATAACTTTTTTTATGTGAGTAAATTTCAAAATGTAATTTAATCCTGTGATGAAAGCTGTTTTGCTGCATCATTCTAATATGCTAATTTGCTGCTCAAGATACATTTCTAATTTTCAATGCTGAAAACACGAGGCACTACCAACCAATTAAGTAAGATTAAAAAAAGGAAACATGAATACTTTTATTTTCAGCAAGAATGCATTAAAATGGATCAAAGGTGACAGTAAAATGTTTCTTTTCAAATTAAAAGCTGTTCTTTTGATCCTGATTTTTATTTATTATGATTTCCACAAACACATTAAGCAGCAAAAACTGTTTTCAACATTGATAATTAAAGGAACCATTACTATTATTATACCATTATTATTATTAATACCGATAATAATTGGTTGGGCACCAAATCAGAATGATTTCTGAAAGATCATGTGATGATGCTGAAAATTCAGCTTTGCAGCATCACAGGAATAAATGACATATTAAAATAGAAAACAAACAGACGGCACAATTACTGTTTTTATTGTATGTTGGATCACATTAACTCTTGATGAGCATAAAAGACTTTAAAAAAATAATCAAAATTATTCCAAACTTTTGACAGGTAGTTTTCATAATTATTAGGCATGATGGTAGCCATTGTGTTGTTGTTTGTAAGGGACTTAAACTAAACACACATGGCGTTAAACTCGTGCCACCTACCTGCAGGTCTGTGATGGACACCCGATGAGACTCCACGGTTGGTCTTCGAGGGAGGCGTGGAGACGAGTGAGGCGAGGTGATTGGCGAGTAGGGCAGTGATGGGTAAATATAGCGTCCGTTCAGCCCCGGAGAACTACAGGGCGACGAAAGTGTCTGTGAGCGTTCCTGTAGAGACAGCTTCCTGTCGGAGAGGCTGAGTCTACCTCTGTGCTCCTGAGGTTCTGGGAAGAGTGCTTCCGGGCGGCCCAACGTATGGGACAAGAGATCACAGGAGGCCATACGGAAGGGCGGTACCGGACCTGACGATGCGGGTTCTGGCGTTTCCGAGCTGTCCATGTCCTCCACCTCCTCCTCCTCTCCGCCCTCCTGCCCTGAGCCATCACTGGGCTCGTACTCCGTCACCACAATCATGGACTCCATCTCGTTGGTGCAAGAGCTCAGGCGCGTGGATGGGGAAGGGAACACAACGCAGCTCCGCAGCAGGTCAGGCAGTGGCTGTACCGAGGGAATGGGCGGAGCATGGCCGAGAGCCGCAGGGGGATCAGAAGAGGGCCAGGGGGAGACACAGGGAAACATAGTGTTCTTCCCAAACACCTCTCAGTAGCCCCTCCATCAACACCTTGCAAGAAAAACAGATTTGGTAAATCTTAGGCGTCCCATCGCTTTTGACCAATACATTTCTTTGATTTTGAGTATAATTTGGGAAGTGGCCTTATGAAAAATAGGAATAGTCAAGTCAAAAGGACCTTATATTTTCTGTACATTTTCATAGTTTTTTTTTTTTCTTGATTTTGCCCACCCCTAATATAGATCACAAAGAGCAATTTCAACCCCCAATATTTTGTAATGTACAATTTATACATCATATATTTCTTATATAATAATTATATTTAACATTTACATTTTAATTAATTTGTATTAACTTATAGTATTAAATATTATATATAATATACAAATATATATGTTTTATATGTATATATATATATATATGTAATTATTATTGATTCAAATTGATAACATATTATATAATTTTTTACTGTTTTTTAAATTAATTTGTATTGATTTATAGAATTAAATATTATATATAATATACAAATATATATGTTTTATATATATATATATATATATATATATAATTATTATTATTGATTCAAATTGATAACGTATTATTATTTTTTACTGTTGAATGTATTGATGTAATTTTATTATTATGCATTTTAACATATATTTAAAATAATATTTATATTCCATACCTTTTACAATCCTACAAAAAAATACACTAATATTTCCAGGTCTTCCCTGATGCTTCCCTATTAGGATAAAGCATAAATGGGAACTGACTAACATAAGCTTGACCTCCGTTTTTCTCTGTCCTTATTCTCCGAGTCTTGTCCTTATCTGTACAAATGTAATGACTGAATACAGCTAATACGCTGAATATAAGATACTTCAAATATTACTCAAAGTAAAGCCTGCTGGGAAAAGATTATATATCTCCTCCACTCTAATGCTCTGTTTCTAATGGCCTTGATTTACATGCAAAGTGCTGCAGTTTCTTTGGAAAACAGATTTTCTGAACATTAGAGACACTGTGTGTGTGGGAGAGGTGTGGGTCTCACAGAACGAGAGAAATACAAGCAGGTACAATAAAAACCACATTCATTACTCCGAGGGGTTCAGAAAGGAGAACTTGTGTGGGCTGGCCCACCCCCTCCAGGCGTCCTCATTTCTATTTCTCACATTTACAGAGATTCAATGCAGCTTAGTTTTTCTTCTCTGTCTCTGTCATTTCTTCATCTGCGATCGAATCTCTACTGATGTTTTTGCTGTAATATCATCTCGGGGCCCTGGCCTCCATGTATTCTCCTGTCAAAACACCCACACAGCTGGAAGACGGTGTTCTCTCTCCCTGTTTCGAGAACACGCTGAGAAAAAAAGGCATATTTTTCCTCATCTTTGACCCCTCCCGCATCCATTTCTCAAGTAATTACGTCCCTGACACTCATTTTCACATTAAATCAGAACACACTGATGAGGATTCAAGCTTTTCTGGCTATAAATGTCAGTCATACTGGAAATAACCCCTCCAAAAAAAAACAAAAAAAAAAAAGAAGGAAAGGAATTGAAAGAAGGACCAAGCCATATCCAGAGACCAGAATACCATGGGGCTAGACTTTAACCACTTTATAATTACCCAGAACACCCTAGCGACCACATAGCAACACGATAGAACCAGTCAGAAAACCTTAGAAGCAACTTAGGTGTCAACCTTTAAATTAAGCAAGGCGAGCACTATTATATATCCTAATAGTGTATATTTATATATTTATATATCCACTATAAATATATCCTATTTATGCATAAAATACAAAAACGTAGTTTATTTTGTATATTAAACTGTCTCGTTCTCCATCCATCACCTACTGAGAGATTCTGCCAGCAGGAGAATGAATGATGGATTCTACATGACATCAATATGACAACAAGTGACAGCCAAGTGATTGTAACATGATATTTGCAGCATCCTGTGTTATAAACATTTTCAAACATTATCATGATTCATCAGTCAAGCAGACAAAAGTACCATTATGCTCATTATTAAACTTGAAACAAGTTATACATTACTGCCATTATATTTATGCAGTTTCTATTTGAATCTTATATTTCACTTTACAAAACTGTTTAAATATTTGGGGACAGTACGATTTCTTTGTTGTTGTTGTTGTTGACGAAACTAATAACTGTATTTGTACTGATATTTATTGGTTAAATCTGAATATTGTGTAGTAATGTTTCTTGAGAACCAAAAATATTAAAATATAACTGGTTAAATATTAAATTGGTAATAATATTTCACAATACTAGCTTTTACAGTAGATAAATGCACCTCTGGAGAGTATAAGAGGCTTTTTTTGAAAAACATTATTAAAAAAATATTAAAAGAAACTGATTGCATTGAAAAGCGAGACTACTGGTAAAACCATCAGAAGAATTGATTATCTCAAAGAATGACATCTGATGCCATGGCACATGATACTGTATCATGGCACTATTTTATTAGTACATGTTGGCTAATAAAGTAGCACACAACAAAACGAGTTCAAGATATGAGAGAGACCCTTTTAAGGTCAGATCAGATTTGGATCACTGCTCAGTCCCTGGTGTGGACGCCATTTGTGACTTCCCATCCTCACATCTCTCAACCTCGCAGACAAAGAGACAGCCCAGCTGAGCACAGAGCGACCGGGCATGTCCGAAACATTTACCAGACCAGGTGCTGATGGTGGGATGATGAAAGTGAGTAGAAACTGAGAGGGATTGATGTGCATTTATCCAGTCTGAGCGGCAAGCCACTTTGAAACTGATGCGGCTGAATTAAGTGTACATTGCAAGCGTTACCTTACCAAAAATAAAGCAGATTATCACATCCTCTTTTCAAAAACAGGAAATACACGGTAGATGCGGGCAAGATGTGACCTGACCGCATTGGTAAGCTGAGCTATTTTAATCTGAGAGCAGTTTCTACATTCTTCTGTGACCTACTTCAAACTTTGATAGATTGCAAACCAAGCGTTTCTCCTCCAGGTTCCCAACCATCTAAACACACACAAATCTCATTTGTTATAGAGACTTGGACTCACAAGGAAACAATCCCTAAGGGCCTGGTCCACCATTGACCACATGTATAACAAACAGGGGTCTACATTAAAGGGCTTCTACAAAGTACAACATCAAACACATGAAAAGATCCATTTTCAATCGAGCCCTTACCCAGGAGGATAACCTCCTGCAAGAAACCAATCTTCCCCTAGAAACAAACAGATGCAGCCTTACACCAGATGACTCTGAGTTTAACACATGCTTTCCACTCCCTGGTTGTTATTATTATGGCGAAATACACAGGGCGTCCACAGAGGATTGACCGTATGGGACCATCTGGAGTACAGAATTCTTTGAAACAGACGCTTTAACAGGGAAAGTACTAATCTTTGGTCAAGACAAGAGTAATGATGACAAGAGACAGTGTAAAAAATAAATAAATATTATATAATTTTTCATAAAGTAAAAATGTTACCTGTTAATTGGTTCACAGTAAGTTCTAATGTAGCCCCGCCCCTTTTCAGCGCTGTGCTTGTTGTGTTCAGTCTTCCAGTAAGATCTTTTGGATTTATGAATTAACCACTTGTTTTAAAATGTTACCGGTCTGCTGATATTTATTAAGATACCCGCTTCAAACATTATAATGCTCATGATAACTTTCAGTAACTCTACAATAAGTAAATGCACTTCACCAGCTAACTACTCTTCGACAGCGACGCCACAGAAATATACAGAGCTACCGCAAAAAAAAAAAAATCTCTTGGACACTCTTCGACAGCGACACCACAGAAATATACAAAGCTACCGCAAAAAAAAACATTCTAGAAGACAAAAAAAGACAAAATTCTAAAGTGGCGGCGTGCTTCTTTCTCTGGCGCATCAGGTCTATACATTGGAAACTGGGATACATCTATCAGGCTATTTCATGTAATTTTACAGTAAAATATTGTTAAAATTGTGGTTTTTGGAAGTGAAAAAGAAGTTATAATTTTGACTGAAATAAACGTAAATGAATTCCCAGGCATTCTCAGTGTGACACTTTCCATTTGATGCTTTTACATTGTACTAAACATGGATCCATCATGCCTTGTTACCACTGTGCAGGCTGGTGGTGGTGGTGGTAATGGTGTGGATGATGTTTTCTTGGCACTCTTTAGGCCCCTTAGTGCCAATTGGGCATGGTTTAAATGCCATGGCCTACCTGAGCTAGCCTGAGTGTTAAACTTTGCATTTGATGGTTTTTCATTGTACTAAAAATTGGTTTCTTCTTAGTTTGAAGTGTGATTTAATGGTAAAATACCATGTTGTACCAATAACACTTTAAACACAAGTTCTGGGTTGAAAATGAGTTAAGCTCTCTCAACACCATCTGTAATAGTCTCGATGATAACCAGATAATTATGTTTCCCTACTCAGTTTTACTATGCATCGACAGCTGAAGTTTATAGACCTTTTTCACAGCAGCGCCATCTTTCATTAACGGGAATGAAAGCGAGGCTGGACGGGATAGTCATGCATCTCTTCAGAGGGTTGCACAGTTATTAAATGTTCAGCTGACGAAACACTGGAAAAATGTCTTTCCGAGATATTTCAGTCGACAAAAGGCTCCAGACAACATTATAAGTACAGAAGATTATAAGTGATCTCTTGGAGCTTTATATTATTTTTTATAGCGGATACAGTTCAAAACACGGCAAGTCTATTCCTGACAGCTTCGCTTTCATACCCGTTTCATATGTTTTTTTGTTTTTTGTTTTCTTGTAATCAGTAATTTTTTGGAAACTTTTTTTCTAGAATTTTGAAGCAGTTTAAAAACAAAATGGCCAAGTCAGTGGAAATTTACCATGCCATTATGTTAGTTGCATGTGATCACATTCCATAAACTAAGAAATGAAAATTAGGCAACCACAATGCAAACGAAGCCTGATAAATAAACAACTTTATCCAGCTCATCCTAAACTAGATTTTCATACTCGTATGGCTCATTCCACAGGGAAAAGCCCTCCAGGGACCGTCTTATGGCACTCTCTCCAAAAAAGGCAAACTATTTTAGACTCAAACACCCAAGCAAGTCAGTGGATACAAAATATTATTCATTATTAATAAGACACAACTGACATCAAACATACTTGCATCCATGCATCTCCTTTCATTGTATTATACGGATTAAAGCATCACACAATAACTGTCAAAACCTGGTGAGCTATCAAACTAGACAGCATTTTTGGACCTTTGATGCCCAAAAATACTGTCTAGGCAGGCAGCTCACAAGATGTTGATACACAGCCAGTGATTTTACGGGTTTCACTTGTCAGCTGTCAAACAGGCAGGATGAAAATGAATTAAGGACGCTGAATTCTTCAGGTAAATGGGTCATTCTACAAAACAGGTGCCATTTTTGTCACTCATATACGTATGTGGAAAAAAATTACTTTATCAATAGATTATGCCAACTTTAAACACAAGAAAAATACAAAAATACAAACTTTCAAGATGTGAATTCTTGAAGGACACGTTACAATCTTCTCCTTTCTTTCTCTGTCTTTATTTTTAGCCAACGTTGTCAGTAGTTCATCCTTAATTTTCAATCATGTTTATGTTACCTTAACACGTAATGTAAATATTTCCAAATTGAAATATTCATTGAAAACATTAAATGTCTCAGTGAATATAAAACAATCTTGCAAAATTTTACTTTCAATTCCCTTACTGAACTGGAAAATGCTTCTATTTCGTAGAATAACCCAACTTCTCATTTGTGAATGTATTTGTAACGTTAACACTCCAGTTTTACAGTTGACATGTAACGCAATTTCGTGCCATATAATCTGCAAAAGCGTCATGTAAACACAGACACTGGCTCGAGGAGCTGATGCCGTAAGAAGAATAATTTAAAGGCAGGTTGTTATTTTGCTAAAGCTGGCTAACGCATCTCTTACGAAACAGATGTTTGGAAAATCCAGCCGAGGATTAATAAAATGATTGTGATCACGTATGTTCACGCACGTCGCTTTAGAAAGGTACAATACAAATCGTTAGTTCGGTGTTATGTCCTTACCTTGGGCGTTTATAAGATCCTGTTTTTGAAGGGTATGTTGTTAGCTCGCTGGCAGTAATGGTAGCGGTTTATGATATGGTATGATGTGCAGGCAGCGGGGGACGAGGTGCTTCTGCTGCCGAGAGTGAATGTGAGAGGAGTGGCGACATCTAGCGCTCCCAATGGAAACTGCGTCTAATGATCAACTGACAAGCAGGGGGTTATTAGTCCTTGATTAATTGAACCTCATTGCTGTACTTTGTACTTCACTAGAATTCCTGCACTCTTGTTCAGTTGCATTTTTGACACGGAGCCAATAACAAATTAAACTTTCGAATTTGAAAATTTCATGTAAATCCCCAAAGTATCTTTTTTTTTTATCTTTTTTTGCCGTCAAATCAATTAATTGCATCTAACAGTATACCAAAGTTTGTATATATACACTCGCCTAAAGGATTATTAGGAACACCTGTTCAATTTCTCATTAAAACAATTATCTAGGCTAATCAACCAATCTCATGGCAGTTGCTTCAGTGCATTTAGGGGTGAAGTCCTGGTCAAGACAATCTCCTGAACTCCAAACTGAATGTCAGAATGGGAAAGAAAGGTGATTTAAGCAATTTTGAGCGTGGCATGGTTGTTGGTGCCAGACGGGCCGGTCTGAGTATTTCACAATCTGCTCAGTAACTGGTATTGTCACGCACCATTTCTATGGTTTACAAAGAATGGTGTGAAAAGGGAAAAAAACATCAAGTATGTGGCAGTCCTGTGGGCGAAAATGCCTTGTTGATGCTAGAGGTCAGAGGAGAATGGGCCGACTGATTCAAGCTGATAGAAGAGCAACTTTGGCTGAAATAACCACTCGTTACAACCGAGGTATGCAGCAAAGCATTTGTGAAGCCACAACACGCACAACCTTGAGGCGGATGGGCTACAACAGCAGAAGACCCACCGGGTACCACTCATCTCCACTACAAATAAGATAAAGAGGCTACAATTTGCAAGAGCTCACCAAAATTGAACAGTTGAAGACTGGAAAAATGTTGCCTGTCTTATGAGTCTGGATTTCCGTTGAGACATTCAGGCCTTGTTACCACTGTGCAGGCTGGTGGTGGTGGTGTAATGGTGTGGGGGATGTTTTCTTGGCACACTTTAGCCCCCTTAGTGCCAGTTGGGCATGGTTTAAATGCCATGGATGCTATCCTAACAATATGGGCCAATATTTCTAAAGAATGCTTTCAGCACCTTGTTGAATCAATGCCACATATAATTAAGGCAGTTCTGAAGGCGTAGGTCAAACACAGTATTAGGTGTTCCTAATAATCTTTTAGGTGAGTGTGTGTATTATAGGATGTAATTAATCAATTTTACAGCACTATTGATCTTACAAGCCTATACAATTATGCTCCAGGCTGAACTTTCTATAGCCATTGACATTTCAAACTGTATTTCGACACAAATATGCATGGGCATTTATTTTTGTGAAGAGACATCTCATCATTTACCACAAGTGTTGGACCTACAGAAATAAACTTATTTGCTGAAGGTGGACAAATTATCGAATTTGGGTTTAAATTTAACACCTGGGGCCCGTTTTAGAAAGGAGGTTAAGTGAAAACTCTGAGTATGTTAACCCTGAAATGAGCTGGGTTTTCTCCTGGGTTAACTCCTTAACTGGCAACTGAAAATAAAGTAGATTAAAGTTACATCATGTAGTTCTAAACAAAATCTACAGACTTAAACATGGCATTTACTGAAAATCACTGAAGTGTGTTCATCTTATATATGCTCAGATTCTATAGGCTACTCTAAAAATACGAATGTGTGGATTGTCTTACGTGTAGACACACATTACCTCTGTAGGCCTCTCTGTGGCATCAGAAAATGTTTTATCATCCCCATCATCCTGTGAAGATGAGCATTTGGTTGAGGACAATTTATAATAGTGCTAGCCTATATTTGTCATAATTTCTGGTGTATTGAGTTGGCTTGCAACTGCCCGGGGTTCTGTTAGGACAGGAGCCTCCAAGACAGATATTACAATCAGAATCTTTTGGGACCAACGAAAAACCCAACCCAAAGTAAATTAAATGGAAATATCAAAAATACCCTATATAAAAATAACATATGTAAACCTCTTACAATTTTATGAAGGCCCTTGGATCTTCAGGAGTGACATGGCTCTGATTAAGTCCCTCCAGCTGCACTGCTAGACACTATGCTATTTAGTTATTTAATATGTCAAATGTTTGTAAAGTCAGACACACCCATGATACTCAAGCCTTACCTGACTGAATTGCAACTACATGAAAATTAAAATTAGGTTGGATAGGCTACTGTTCTTCCAGTTTTACCTGTAATATTCACTTATTAATTACTAATTAAATGACATCTTCAATAGTGTGAGATTAATGTAATAATTACTATCTCTAGAACGTATTGGTTTATTCATTAATAAGTACTAAATCCCATATCAGCATCGTTCACTTGAACAATACAAGGAGAGACAAGAAACTGCACTTTTAATGCTTTCAAATAAACAATATACAATTGCATGAATTATTCTTGAATTGACAAAAATGTGTAGAGGGAGAAATAATATTAATATTAAAAATATACATTTTAAAAATGTATGTTAAATCCACTATTGTTTAAACAGAATTGTTTCAGTATCTATAATAGTCTATGCAGTATTTAATGCAATTACATCAGATTATACTTTAAAATACAAAAGAATTAAAAGTAATCTCTTTAATTTAATTACAGTATTTAGATTACTTGGTAATTACCCAACACTGTTAAATTGTACACTTAAAAATTGACTTTCTCCCAAGCTAAAACATTTTTGCTGGTGAGAAATATAGACCTCTTTTTGTCTGGCCATGTTGACTCATAATTGATAATGGCTTTTTATAGATGTGGCGCACGCGCTTAACTCAGAGTCAGTCAACTTAGAGTTGATTAAACTAACTCTTTTCAGCTGTTCTGTAACCGAAAAGTCAAGAGTTTCCCATCTCAGGGTAAGTCAAACCAGAGTTGAAGTTTTGAGTTGGTTGAACCTCCTGATTGAAACGGGCCACTGGTGTGTTCTACAGCAGACTACATTTTAAAAAAATATGATTTAAACAACCTCCTAAAAACTTAAAACAAACTAAAATAACCTTACAGAACTATAGTAAGATAGGTGTATATATATATATATATATATTGCATATTGTTTAAATACATGAAAAAAAAAAATGTTTTAACTTGTTGATTGCAGACCCTCACATAATATATATACATATACACAGCTTTATATTTAAGGACACTAGGAAAATACCAAACAAACAGGGCTTATCTAATAAAGCAATAATTGAATGCAAACTTTATGTGCTGAGGTGTTTCAAAATAATTAAAAACACCTCAGCACATATATTGCACTGTTAATAAAAAGAATGACACACTGCTAAATCAGTCCATCACCTAACTGATGCATTAATAAAACACTTTTTATATAATTAACCAGCTTTATTACATGAGAAAAGTGGAAAAAACTTTATTGCAAAATCAACAAAAAAACAAGATCACCAATTTTAACAAACCAAGAAAAAAAAGCACACAATTTCTCAAAAGGAAAATAAAACTGTACAAAATGACATTGTGATAGAAACAGGATTCACACTATCGCCTTTTCTGGAAAATATTTCCCCTTCCTCCTGGTCCTCCTCGTCCTCTGCCCCTTGCTGCGACTGCAAGGGGAAAATAAACAGTTAAGTGGTTTTATCTTATAAATTTGCCAGGAAAAAAAAAAGCCTTAACTTGCTCAGAAAATAAATGAAAAAGCCTCGGTGCAATTATTTTTTCCATTGTTATTTTGTGAATATTTAAACAAATTGTAATAATATTGTAATTAATTTAGTAGCTAAAGAGCACTTGATATTGCAACAACTGAATAATACAACTGCAGTTACTGTAATGAAGTCAACAATACCATTAAAAGGATGTTTAATGACGAACCTTGTGCTTTGAGAATAGCAGCTTTGCCTCTTCCAGCTCCTGCCCCTTGGTTTTTGTTTTTCATACTCTTTAACATAGGGGCGTTTTTCAACATGTCAGGCAGAATGAGAAAGCGTATTTTGCTGCCGCGGATGTACACCTGCTCCAGCTGGGACACTCTGCCGTCTCGATAGGTCACTGTAATGTTGGACATCTGATTCACACAACACAAGTGCAGTTAGTTGCATTATTCACACACGACATATTGCAAATACAAGTTTAGGGAAAATGTTTGGGTAACAGGTGAACAACATATCAAGAATGAATTCTGATTTTTGTGGGATATTTTTAGCAGTACCTGGCAGTTCATGTTATCCTCTGCTTCAATCAGTTTGCCCCTGTACACCTCACCAGTGTTTGTCTCGCAGGTCACGATGTGACCCTCTGCTTCATGCAGGACTTTGATGGGAACACCAATAGACATGTTTTAATCTGGGGGGCAATGGACAAGTTAATTAACACACAGCGAATTAAACTAATGTTACTTTAGAATCAGACATGACTAAAGTAATAAATAGTGGACAGCGGTACAGTGAGAATTTCACAGTTCCTATCTTAAAAGAGCCGAATCATTAGAACGATTCTTTCGGCAATCGGACTACATTTGTCATCACGCGTTAGCTTTGATTCACTAAAAAGAACCGGCTCATAAGAATCACTCGTTTGGAAATCGTGTTCTGTACGTATTGGAGGACACAGTCCACGCTTGAAAATAAACGTCATGAAAATCATTCCTTTCTGGTATTAACTATAGTTAGCTTATATTGATTTCAGTACCTAAACTAACACATTCACTCTAAATATCAAGAAGGATCTCAAACGAGTCGCATGAATAAACCAACCAACAATGAATTTCTAAAATGGACGCTGCTACGCTACAGAATCGACCTGATCAAACAAGACTGTATATTTTAGTGAAACACCAAGTAACAGACTACAAATAGGCTAATAGGTTTTTGCCATCAAGCATTACAGTACCTTGAGTCGACGACTTCGTAGAAATCCACACTATTGAACAACGTGAGTATTTGCAGCGTTTTCCCGGCGCTCCCACAATGCAGCTGAAAGCAGAAACCCCGCCTCTTCCTGGAACAGTGTTGCATTTTGGGAGTTGAAGTCCTATTACCATGCGTGGACAATTCAGGACAGTATGAACAAGCAGAAGACACGTGAAATTTACAGAAGAGGGCGGTATTGAATTGTGGATACGATTACAGTAAAACATTGTCATTCAGTTTAATCTTTCAATTCAATGTCACAGATAGCAATTATTATAATAAACTGTTTAAAAAAATCTGTATATGACAAATTCAATGTGTTTCTGATTATTTTCATTCTTCAGCATTCATTTCTGCTTGTTGGCTATTTACAGAAATACGTAATTATTATTTACTGTAATTAAAAAAATATTACTAGATATTTGTTGTTCATGAAATCCATCTTTGCCATCTTTGACAGATGTTATAAATTATTCTGAAACCATTATATATATATATATATATATATATATATATATATATATAGGCTACTGTATGTTTGTTTGTACTGTATGTGAGATAGATAGATAGATAGATAGATAGACAGATAGATAGATAGATAGATAGATAGATAGATAGATATGAAATCCATATTTGACACAGATCTTATGTCAGTCTGAATATGTGTGTGTGTGTGTGTGTGTGTGTGTGTGTGTGTGTGTGTGTGTGTGTGTGTGTGTGTGTGTGTGTGTGTGTGTGTGTGTGTGTGTGTGTGTGTGTGTGTGTGTGTGTGTGTGTGATACAGAATATATAAAACAATAATGGTCAGAGGAGTTGTTAAACATTGGAAAATACTTGGAGAAGACATTTGTCTGGTTTTGGCATCATCAAGATTCATTGCTCTACTCTCAGGAATTGTGGGCGGCAGCATTATACAGTCTAAATTTGTTCTGTCATCCTAGTGCTTGATAGACTGATTCTGTGTCTATTCTTAGCAGTAGTCTTTTCCTCTTTGTCTGTAAATCACCAAAGAACAAGAAACCATGTTATGTTTAAAATTGGCTGAATTGAGTCGAGACAGGAAGTAAACCATTACGTCTGGCTATTCTGTTTATTAATTGAATGTTCCTCTTTTCCAGAAATAAAGGGAAGTGGTACAAACTAATAAAGGTCTGGAATGTTTGTCAAAGCGCAGAATGTTAAACATTTGGTTTATTTAATTTTGCAGCATAGGCATTTATTAACCTATTCTTTTATTTTGTATCAGATGCTATCTAAGGAATTTTGTCATTGGTAAGAATGGAAAATGAAAAATGCAATTCTTTAACAACATTAACAGGAAAATGTAAGTGTAAAACAAAGTCAACAAAGACAGTTTCTGTGACCTGAAACTAACCCTGAGCTTGAACCTGACATTCTGAAGAATTTCACCTGCATCAAATCCACAAAAGAGAGAGAAAAAAAAAAACTCAATTCAACCAATTACAAAACAGTGACAGTGGAATAGGTGGAGGCAAACGTCTGTTGATTACACAGTAACTCTCAGCAATGTCTTCAAACCTCATTTTACCAGCAGAATGAGCCTGCCAGCTGCTGCTGATCTATGTGACAAGTCTGTTAGCTTCACTCCGATCTGATTTACACCACAAGCATTCATGATGGAATAAGATAAATTACTGCGTAAGCCTGGAGATTCGTTTTTGTAAAGGACATCTGTCTCATTAAAAAATAGAGCTGTCAAAACAAAATCAAACCATGCCACTGCTGTGCTGACTGGCATTTCTCACCTAGAATCAACAAACCAGTAGATTAGAACTGATACACTCTGAACAAGTGCTGCACATTGCAGTCTTTATAGAGCAAATGACTGCAATTCCTTTTCTTATAATTAGCATAATTCGGTAGTAGCCATTAAGAATCTAAAATAACATAAATAATAAAACAATTTTAATGCACACAGCTTCAATAAGCTCATTATTATTATTGAAAAATATGCATGTACTGTATGTATTTTTATTTTAATATATTAAATTAAATTTGGAATATTTACTCAACAAATATATATATATATATATATATATATATGTATAGAATAACAAATAGAATATGCAGTTTGTACAATATAAAAATCATTATGTATATGGAAAAGTCCCCATAAAACATGAAAACACAACGTGTGTGTGTTTGTGTGTGAAAATATGAGAATTTACAGCAAATAATAATGTGTTGACTACCCAGGTCTATAATCCTTCAGCAAATATAGAGGCAATATTGATCAAATTTATTAAAAAAAAAATTAAAAATCTAGCTTATTGTTCCATTTTTATGAATGGTCACTCTACTCACTCCTATAAACGGACCGTTACACACTACAGAACCTAAAAATGTCAACTCCCATGTGGCAAATATAGATAGCCTAGTCCTTCCCACTCTAGAGCCTCTTAATGAGGAAAAGAGAAGTGTAATGGTACAGTTTAAGGGATCATCAAATGCCCCTTCATTTGATTTCCATTGCATTAGGCCGGCCGCTGGCGTCAGCAGCCTCTCTGTAAATACAATCATAGCTGGTCTGTGTATAGCCCACGATTGTGCTTCTATGCGTGTGTGTCACAAGAGAGGATTATACACCACTGTCCTACATCCTCTGACAATTTTATGATCCCTAATCATTATGTTGTGTGTTGAAGAACAAATAAATCCATCACAATCGATTGCACATTTAATATAGTATTTGTGAATCATTACAGTTTATACTTGCATTCTTCTGGGAATTTCGATCATTATATAGGAATCAAAGTCCACTTTATTGAGCACCAGAATATACACTTGATGTTGCACAAACAGTATGGCTTAAACTCTGAGCATAATTGATGATTCTAATCAAGCACATTAAAAAGGTAGAACCCAAAGATACAACAGATGTCACTGGGGCAATACCCTTTCAAAAGGTCCTAAAATATATCACTACTCAAGGTTCCCTAATTACCCTTTGCGGATGAAGGTAAAAAAGCTGAACCTTTTGGCTTTTTTTTGTACCTGCATGCCGCCCCAGTAACAACTTGTACTTTTTCCGTTGAGAGTGTACACCACATAACACTCTATTTGTGTTTTGGTTATAGCTTTGTTTTATTTAGTGCATTTTCTTAAATATTAACACATGCTTACAATCAGTAGTACAGTATAATTCAGTTTGGTCATGTTTTAACAGGGCTGCACGATTAATCGAAATAAAAAAGGAATCACGATATCGCTTGGTGCGATTATTAATCGCAAAGGCTGTGATTTAATGACATAAGTGTGAAGAGTGTATAAGCTCACAGCTCATGATCTGGAGTTCTCAGAGTCTCAGAGCGGCTTGGTTCGTGCATTTGAGATTATTATTATTACATAATCTTTTGATAATGTTTTTATTTTTACAGTGAAATAAATACAATGGTAACATTTCTTGTTTTTTATGTATTATTTTATAGTCATATTAGTATATTTCATTTTTAATATTTTCATATATTGCGAAACATTTCTGGACAATTTGTGCAGCCCTACAAACAAATAAGTCGCATTCACAATTTTGCAATTATATTTTTTTTTTTCCGGAAATCGTGCAGCCCTATGTTTAAAGCGCTACAGAAGTTCCGGCAAGTATATTGATGGTACATGTTCTAAGTTTGGACATACTTCTCCTAAAAAAAGCACAGAAAGATGATATTTCCATATGGCATGGTCACAATAGGTTTAGCTGAATTCCCTAGAGTATTGATTTAATCCATTAGGCCTCCCCCACTTTGACCAGGAACAATGCTCTTTTATTAAAGCTCCTTAGAATCATATGCACCCACACACAAAAAAAAAAACTCTACAATGTCAGAAAACAAGTTCTTTATGAGGTCTGAAAATCTGCAAACACCATCAGGGGTGTTTGACAGCAAAGAGTAGTAAAAATTCCTGGAATTTGTGCAGTAAGGGTTCCCACAGGAGCTATGAGATCCTCTTATAGCTTTATCTTTCCTGACCCTGGCCTAGATAGTACTGTAAATGAAGTCACCCTCTCTAGCACAGCAACTCAGTGATCAGTGATTGCTTTGTGAAGAACAAAACAAGCCTCATTTGGATATTTTCGGACAAATTGTTGGGGATCACGGAAGTGTGTGTCATGACACTTCTGCAAGATCAGATGAGTTGCTTGTCCTTACGGGGAGCAGACATTTGACATGTACATTGGTAATAGCACTAGAGTCTTTTACCGTCATGATATCTCCATGGTTTTTGATGGAAGGAACTTCCTCCCCGGCGTGTAATGAAAAAATCTGTGTTGAACTGGTGGGAAAGGAATGTTCTAAAGTTCCATTTAAACTATATCCTAAGTCTTGGAATTCCGTTTTTGGCCTGATTTTTTGGGGCATTTGCTTTGTAAATTCATCGCAAGAAATCATGCCGTGAATGGGATTGGGATCCAGCACAAAGACATTGGACATCGTACAAGAAGTCTCAATCACACTGACCGCAGCAGAAGAAGCAGCCATACCTCCGTTGCTGTTACCAATGGCCAGTCTGTTCTCATGCCACAGGAAGTGTTGTCGGATGATCCTTCGGAAGGTGTGCCTGAAGTCACGTATTCGGTAGGCGTATATAAACGGGTTCACTACTGAATTAGCATGTGAAAGCATGATGGCCAGGTACATGACCCAATCCTGAGCTCGATCACACTGAGGGCAGAACAATGTGAAGCAGTTAATGATGTGCAACGGGAGCCAACAAATAGCGAAGAGGCCCACGATGATAGCCAGCGATTTGGCCGCGTGGACCTCCTTTTGCAGTGTGGACCGGGAAGAGGATCCGTCCCCGTGAGTGTGTCCGTGCATGTGCACTAGCTTCTGCTCCATCTGTCTGAGCTGGCGACGGGCAGCCATGAAGATCCATGCGTAGATGGTCAGCATAGCAATTAGCGGTATCAAGACGCAGCCGAAAAAGTTAAAGTAAACCATGTAACCCATGGTGACCACCTTCTCGAACAGGCATTCTGTCATACCTTGAGGACAGGAGCTGTTGGTGCCCGCGTCGACGTGACTGTTCCAGCCTAGCATGGGGGTCAGGCCGATGACCACTGAAAGAATCCAGCATACTGCAATGATGCCTTTGGCTCTTTGGCTTGTGACAAGGCTGTTGTACCTTAGAAAGACAAAGCAAAAACAGTTATGAAACAGCAATTTTAGAATTAGTGCAGCAGATTAATGGCATATTTCAAGAGAATCGTTCAAATTCAACCCGATCTCACGACCTCACTCGTACAAATTAGTACGATTTTGCTAAATCGTACATATTTTACGAATTGGCCAATTCGTAAGAATTCGTACGAATGACCTACCCCTGACCCCGCCCCTAAACCTAACCATCATGTGGGTTTAGACAAATCGTATGAATTCGTACGAGTGAGGTCGTAAGAATTAGTACGACGAATTAGCCACTTTTTAATCACTCGTACGAATTCGTACGAATTGGTCGTGAGATAGGGTAGTTCAGATTGGTATAGAAGCATGAAATTTGGCACGGATAGTCTCCCATAGATATATACACTAGATCTCACCTTGGGGTTCTAAGCATGCGTCAAAACCGCCGCCATCTTGGAACAGGGGTCTTGTCATAGGAAGTAGCTAGGTAACGCTGCTATCTCTGCCTTTACTTCGAATTCATCGATGGTGGCGGACTTTTGTGCAGCGTATGATGTTCACGGATGAAATCTGAACTAGGAAGAATGTTTTTGTTTTTTTTTTAAATACATTTTTCTTTCTGGAATCAATGATAAATACATGTCTGACCGTTGGAACAAACCAAATAAAACAAGAAAAATCGCATTCATGATGATTTATGGTGATTTTATTTCCGTTAGACCTGTGTCTACTGACGCTGATGCATTAAAGTGGAGGGGCTCCCCTGTTTCAAGATGGCGGCTCTATTGACGCATTCGTTCCAATGAACTGCCGTAGCCAAGGTGAGGTCTAGTGTATATGTCTATGATGCTCTCCAAGGATAATTTTTTGGGAAAAAGGCATTGGAAAAATTCAACATGGCAGCCATTTTTTCAAGATGGCCGCTATTTCTGTCAAATGCACATTATGTCAATCATTCAAAAAGTGATGTAGGCATAACATTTTGTGAAAATACTCTCTTCAGAATGTTTTTTTTTTTTTTGGAAAACAGTGCTTGTCGTCCCTCAAAAATTCAAGATGGAAACCATTTTTCAAGATTTTTCTTGAATCCTTACATCTTTTTTTCAAATGGTGATGCTATCATGAAATTTGGTACAAATATTCTTCAAGGAACATTATTATGGAAAAAGGTGTGTGCCACTCAAAAATTCAAGATGGCGACCATTTTCAAGATGGCCGCTATTTTTCACGAATCCTTACACCTTTTTTCAAATGGTGACGCTATCATGAAATTTGGTACAAATATTCTTCAAGGAACATTATCATGGAAAAGGGTGTGTGCCACTCAAAAATTCCAGATGGCGACCATTTTCAAGATGGCCATAGAATGTACATTTCCAGAAGAAAAGGAAGTATGGTATGAAGCACTATGGTGATAAGCATGCCAAGTTTGGTCATATATTACAACTCTAACTGCCTCAAACAATATGCTGATGTTTCCTGAAGCCCATCCTGAAGTGGGCTGTATTGTTCTGTATTGTTTACTGTCAGGGCTGAAAAAAGGTTATTTTCCCAAATCTACACAAGCATGCACTGACTTTGCTCCTGGGAAATGTCTATTGTTTAGGTGTTAAGCCCTGGTAATTGCTGCCAAAATGGAAAATACCAGGATATGTGTTAATAAGAAGCATTTATTTCACCTGTATTGTGCCTAGTCTTAAAATAACACTTGGAGGCTTTGTTTTTGTACAACTTCGAAAGAGGCTGTAAACGTAATCTTTTCAGTGGGGTTAGATGGGGACAATAATTAGAAAACAAGAAGAATTCAATTGTTTGATTAAATCGGGAGGTTTCAACTGCAAAAGATTAATAAAAACTTTTTCACAGTACTTTGAGAGGTGGTATAATTCTCTAAAAAGAGCCAGGTTGCAAGTTATTGTTCACAAGTTGGGATTATACTGGTTGGCTTTTTGATTCTCTAGACGCATAGTTAATTTGCTCACAAAGTTGGACTACATTGGTTGGTCGCACTGTTTATTTGTTTTGTTTTGTTTTTCTAAAAAGAACTGGCTAACACATGAGTGATTCGAGTCAGACTACACTGGTTACGCTGTATGTTTTTGATTCACTAAAAAAGCATTCGCTCAAGAGTTGGACTTCACTGGTGGTGCTGTCTCACTCTGTAGATTCAATAGCGCTTTCGCAGGGACTTATTGGCGGGAACTCTGTCAGAGTAGGCTATTTAATCGGTATTGGTTCAGTGCACTTAGGAAGAAGGATGCATGTGAGACATGCCCAGATAGCATGCTAACATTAATTCAATGTTGAGTTTTTATTCAAACCATCATTTTGGTTGAGATGGACATTTCAAAGTTTAAAGTGGGTTGGATCAGCATCGAAATATTGATGAAAGCCAACAGCACACATGGGTGGATAGTACAGTGGCATTGAACTAATGGTGATTTGTATTTGATGAGCACAAGATCACTCAGGCATGTATCTCTGCAGAACACTAGTGGGTGTTTCTCAGTCAGTGGGGCATTGAAACCACAACGGCCATTTTCAATCGCTTTACCAGATTTGCTCTAATCCACTGGGGGCTTGGTTTAGATTTTAACACTTCTGTTGAAAAATGGTTGAAAAACATTTATTGCAGTTTGAAATTGGCCACTGATTGGTAAACGCCTATTTTTGTTTTGCATGTGCACTTCTCAGTAGTCTAATGCTTCCTCATTAGAGAGAAAACAGGTGCATTCAATACAGACTTCTTGTTTGTTGAATCACCTAACATACTTCTCTAGGACAGTTTCAAACAATGGAGCATCTACCTTATTTCTCTGTTTTGTGTGCTTATTTGTGTTGTTATTGTAAATAGATACATTAAAAAGTTATTTTGTTTGAATAAAGCAAATATTTTTATCTCTAAAACATGCATCTTGCTTTAGTAAAATTTATTAAGAATTTCCTGAATAAAGTTCTAACGTCATTTAACAGATTTCTTCAAGTCTAGGAAACATGAACAAGAATGTTACACTACAAACAGACCCCATGTTTTGCATCCGTCAGTGCTTGCATGCAGAGCACATTGCTCCTTTAGTAGGAGTGAAGGCAGATGAAGATGGACAATAAAAAATAATAATATATTATTATAATAATATATATTATAATGCTGACACTGATTATACACTGAGTTGTTTTTCGACAACATAATCACCTGACCTGGGACTTGATAATATCCTGCATCTTATCACTGCTTAATCAGGTAATCATTCATAATCCTGAATCTGTATTAAATTTGAGAAATGTAACTGATTTCCATTTAGTTTAACTGGTTTCCACTTAAACACAATAACAAAAAACATCTTGTGTTTATTAAGAAAGTGACTGACATGGCTATTTTGTCATATTTAAAGGGTCTACATAAGGTGAATCTTCAGCTTTAAAGGGATAGCTCAGCCTGAAATGAAAATTATGTCATCATTTATTAACCCAAGTTGTTCCAAACCAGTATAAATGTCTTTCTTCTGCTGCACACAAAAGAAGATAGAGTGAAGGATTTTGGTAACCAGATATGATGGTCGATTGTACCCATTGACTTCCATGGTATTTTTTTTATTACTATGGAAATCAATGGCCGCATGCATCAACTTTCTAGTTCCAAACATTCTTTAAAATATCTTATTTTGGTGTTCAACAGAAGAAATACACTCATACAGGTTTGGAACAACTTGAGGGTGAGAAAATGATGACAGATTTTTCATTAAGAGCTGAACTATCCCTTTAAAGAAATGTTCATTGAAACAACCTAAGCTCTTTTATTCTAAAAGATAAACGTGTTACTTGAATACTAAGTAGTTTGACAGAAAGTAAACTGAGATGTAGTTAATGGCTATAGCTCGGAGGTGTTTGTTCCTCTTCATGAAGAGTTTAGCTCCAACACACCAGCCTGAATGTATTTATTGATCCTAATGACCTTGATAATTTGACTCCAGTGTGTTTAATCAGGGCTGGAGATAAAATGGGACACCCCAGCCAATGCTTTCTTTTGATATTGAAGCATTAAAAGATTTTAGAAAAATAAATTAAATAAACTATAATCATGTAGTATATTAAACATTCTTCAATGTGACTGTATGTATGACAACTGAATTGGGTCGTTCATGAGTAACATCATGCTTTCTTTTTCAGATTTCAGAGAACCCAAAGGAAAAGAGGCAGAAGTGTCTAGTGAAAATTAAAGTGTTTTTGACCTTTGATGCATGTAATCCTGTCCAAAACAAAATTTAAAATAGCATAATAGGGGCATATTAATACCATAATCCCCCCTCCCAGCCAGCCCATGGGCCCCAAATATATATAAAAATATTCATGGTAACATTAGAATAAGTTTTATTAAGAACATTACTACATTAAGACCCCCACACAGATCCCTGGTTGAAAAACCTTTTTGGAAGTAAAATAACTTATATGACGCATATTAGCAATTGTAAAAGCATCAGTTTACAAACAGTTTGGGATACAGCTGTGCAAAATCCACCACCGCTATGCATTTCAAACATCCCGTCGAGCAAACAGCCCAGCTACATGTTTCCTTTGCCAAGGGCAACAGTTGGAAACGGTGGTCAAATGTCAATTGTTCCAAAAATCCTTGGGCTTATCGGGCCCATCGAGAACAACAGTGGTTGCTTCATTAAACCCAGAGGACTTACAGGGCTCCAGTACTACTGGTACCTCATTTACACGCCCACAGAGACTGGAAGCCGGCAGACCTTATGTAATCAACACTTGCCCAGGCTTTTGCTGTCACTGCTGTTCTCTTACAACGCTTTGTGCGGCTCAATCTACACCATGAGCAGAAATGTGCATCACACCCTGTATGCAGGCAGGTGGTAAAGTCCCACACCTTTCAGCTTCCGAAAAACAGAAAAGTGCTGCTGAGAAATGCTTGCCAGAGGATTTAAGAATAATCATTATGTGCAAAATGTCCCAGGTTTAATATCCAGCACTGGTGTCTTTTACATCTTCAATAAATTAAGTTTATAATATATCATTATCTATTTTACAATTAGTAGTAAAAAAAAATACCATACAAGTATAACTCTTTGTATTTTTAAAACTAACTAATGATCTGTATATTTCTTCTGTAAAAACTTAAGTAAACTCCCTCACTGTTTGTGCAATATATGATACCAAAAATTCATGTGGCTTGTGGGGCAGGGGTGTGCTATTATTTTTCTAAAGGACCAGACCTATGATTTACACCTGACAGACAATAAAACGGCTGAAAATCCCCTAGGCTTACATTGAAGGAGGGATCTGAGTCACATCCAGCCAGGTTAGTAAACAAAACAAAAAATTAATCTAGCAACCGGTGTTGTGTGGGATTTAGAATTGAATTGAGAATGGCTTTTGAATTACAATTTAATTCCTGAATTTGAACTGAGGTGGCAAACAGGATGCATGATTTGAGTTCGAATTTGAAATTAAAAAAAAGAACAAAACTGAATTTTTCTTTGAATGTTTGTAGCTGTTTAAGAGTTTTGAAGCAAGTCTAGATGGATGGATGGATGGATGGATGAATAGATAGATATTTAATTCCTGAATTTGAACTGAGGTGGCAAACAGGCTGCACAATTTCAGTTTGGATTTTCAGAGGAAGGAAGGAAGGATGGATGGATGGATGGATGGATGGATAGATGGATCGATGAATAAACATTTACAATTCAGAAAAAAATCCTTGTGTCATTTCACATCAAACTTGTTGTGTGTAAATTGTTTGTTGCTCTTTTGTATGTCACCATATTACAATATGGTGCCAGATTGAGTATTGATTATTGATTATTGATTTGGCTCTAATGAAAAAAAAAATATTCTTGAAACATTTGTCAACAGCTTAAAGCTACATGAATCCTATTTACTGCAAAAATCATTGCAAGCAGTGAAAGAGTGATTGAAAGGGAAATTACATGTATGTAAGGGAATTACAGTGCGTGTTGTCAAGCCATTATCAGGAGAAAGACAGAGAGTCACTCAGTCTAGGAGCCTTTAACCATATATCAAAACATTTGCAAAGCACACATTAATAAAGATTACATAGAATTACATATCTGCAAACACATAATATTTTATTGAATATACACATGTAAACACTCATACAAACACTAGCACAATGGCTCTCCTGATAGCACAATGGCTCTCCATATTTCTTCTGTGATATGCAAAATAAGATATTTTGAATAGTTATCTTTGTCCAACACATCTAATATTTTGTACCCCACAGACATGAGTAAATGGTGAGAGGCTTTTCATCTTTGAGTGAACAATATATATTTAGGGTGTAATTTCTGCACCACAAACCAGTTTAAAAATAAGGACTGTATCGTATTCCTATCCAGTGTAGTTTTTATTAATAATTTGAATAGGTTTTATATCAGTATACTTTCCAGTTCATTGTCATTTTTAATAGCTTTTGCTGTTTTAAATATCTTTCCATCAGTATCATTTTTAATGTTTTTAAATATCAGTAGTTTTTATTATTTTATATTTTACCTTGGTAACCACTTTAAGTTTCATTTTTTAATATTAAATATTTTTTTAGTTAACGTATATATTTTATTACCATTACGATTTTATTTAATGGTCTTAGTTTCAGTTTTATTTATATTTTTACTAGAAAAACCCTGCCTCTATTTGCCATTATTTGGACAAACAAACAGATTGCAATTTTGATCAATTGTACCATGAACAATAACTAATTATAAATGTACTGGTACTGTGAAAGAGAAAACTTTGTCTATGTTCTTGCTATGGGGCAACTATGTAATCTGTTCTTTCAAGCAACCATATGATCAGTAATCTTACAAAAAGTTTGCCTTCAACTCGTAACAGAAAATCACGACACAATAGTTCACTCACCTCAATGGGATCTTGATGGCAATGTACCGGTCCACAGCGATGGCCAACAAACTGAAGATGGAGCTCTGTGTGAGGACCAGCACGAAGCAGGCGATGAAGAGGCATCCATGAAAATGGCTGCAAAAGCCTATGCTGATGGTGACGGCGAACGGAATGGCCAGGAGTCCCACTGCGATATCCGCCACGGCCAGTGACACCACGAAGAAGTTGGTGATGGTCTGGAGATTGCTGTTGAGGCAGACGGCCCAGCACACTAGAACGTTCCCTGCTACGGCCAAAACCGCAATCAGCAGCTCAAGAACAATGTAGACAAGAGAAGACATGGTGCCATCAACCAGTATGAAAGAACATCCTCAAAGACACACATAGTTATGCTCCCGATAATTGCTCAGTGGCTCTTGCAATAGGTGTGTGGATGAGCCAATCTGACCATTGCTGTAACCAAATATCTCTCTTTTTCAAGGGAAAGAGGGGGTAGGATGAATCTGGTAGCAGATGGTAGAAGCACTTTGGGGTTCACTCTGGAAACTGTAGGGTCAACGGAGACACCCCTCAATAAATCTTGCATTACCCGTTCACCAGCCTGTCCCTTAGGTCCAGCTCACTTCAGCCTTTCATTGAAAGTCTTAAAGGAAACAGCTGCTAGATTTCATGAAGCAGATCCGGTAGACCTTCAGTGGGACTTTTTAATCTGTAAAAAGAACAATCACATCACACAATAAAATATCAATCTCTCTGGGTCACAAAAGCAATCCATCGCTAAACAGGAGTTCTCCATCAAAAGATGACAGACAGTGGCGGTTCAAGGGGGCGGGTCAGTGCCTCTGTGACAACAAGCTTGGACCCCCTTTTGTGCCCCCCCTAAAAGTGTGAAAAACAAGTGTGAGTGTGAAATTATTTTTTACAGTGAGTCAAAGTCATTTCTGGCTTTTGTCACGCACTCCCACCACACATTGTATTTCTCATGCGGAACAACTATTTATAATATATTTAATGTGCCGCAATTTCTCTGACCGTGCCGCTCTCACTATGGAACCGGCAGGAATCAAGCGCGTCTCCCCTGGAGTTCTGCAGTCGACCCTGGCACTTCAGCCAATCAAAAAAAAAAAAAAAAAAAAAGAAGGGTGCTACACAATAGATAATCAGAAAATAGCACTATTGTATCTGGGTAAGATTTAACACAACAACCAATGAAAAAAAAGCATATCCTGGAATTTTTCAGGTGATTCTGCTACAACATCTTCTGAAAGTTTTGTTCACCCACGGATGAAAGTCGATGTCAATAGTCGATGTTATGGGTCACTTTAAAATCATGTCTTATTTTATAATAATATCCTGGCCATTGATGGATTAATCATTGCATCTGTCTTTCAAAGATGTCAGGTAAAAAGCAATTATGCATCCTCTCATTCACCCTGAGAGGAAAGCCTCCTAAAAAAGACCAGGTTAGAGGATATTTTGCTGATCTTTTTGCAAAAAATAAATAAATAAATAAATAAAAAATCGTAGAATAGGCTAAAGTGGTTACTGGAAGAAGCTTCACTCAATCATTAGTCTTTATTTATGGAATAGGAAAAAACCCAGAATTAAAGCATCTACTCTACAAAGACATAGATCATCAGGAGGCATTAATTTGCCCAATTTTGAGTGGTATTCCTGGAGTTTTGTTCTGCGCTCACTTGCTATATGGAGGAATCCAGAAATTTTGGTCTCATGGCGTCCAATTGAAGAACGCTTAACTTATCCATATTGCCTGTCTAGTTTGGTATTTTCTAATATACCCCTTAGTACAGTTAAACGTAATTTTGGGCCAATAATTTCTTATTTTTTTACAGTATGGCATAAAGTACACCGATTTGCTAAAATCCCAAACACATTTGTTGCCCAATCTCCTATTTTCAACAATCATTTACTTCTAATTGAGAAGAAACCGATTGTGTTCCCTCAGTGGAGCAATAGAGGGGTTTGTGTCCTCAATGATATCATAGGGGAACAAGGTCTCCGTGCATTCCATGACTTGAAGAAAGCATATAACTTACCGGGCACTTCTTTTTTTTTTATTTACAATTACGCACAGCAATGTGCGCTCAGGGCGTTCCTTGGGGTATTAAGTTGGGGAATCATCCCCTTCACGAAATCTGTGCCACTAAGGGTAAAATTAAAGGTATCGTCTCAGAGGTATACAAGTTTATAATTACAGCTTCTTATAAGCCTTTATCTCTTTTTAGACTCTGGAAGACCGATATCGACATTTCTGAGGATCTAGATTGGGGTGCGGTTTGGTCAAATATCTCTTTATCATCTAGAAACCCTGACCATCAAATGATACATTACAGATTGATTCATAGATTTTACTTAACCCCACGAAGATTACAGCAAATGAAACTTAGAGACAACCCATTTTGTGATTTTTGCTCAGACAATACAATTGCTACTTATTACCATATGGTGTGGCAGTGTCCAGAGGTCAATAGTTTTTGGCATAGTATTTCATCTATTTTGTCAAGTATTTTGAAAAGACCCATTCCTCTTTCACCATGTTTGTTTCTGCTCAATGATACATCGTCTTTAAATTTAACTATTAATAACAGACGTCTTCTCTTGGCTGGTTTGACAGCCGCTAAAAAAATGATAGTTTGTCGCTGGAAACCACCACATACATTGTTAATGAGTAAATGGTTATCTTCTTACCGGGAAATTGCTCAACTAGAGCTTTCTACAGCACGTTTACATTTTACAAAATCCTTTAATATTGATTGCTGGTTAGAGCTATTAGAAATAATAAATGAAATGTAGATAAGTCATTTTTTTTATTTTTTTTATTTTTTTTTATTTATTTATTTTTTTTTTATTATTTATTTATTTATTTTATTTATGTGGGGAATTTGCATTCAATGTAATGTTTGGTTTTGTTATGTAATTATTACTCAAATATTGTATTGACCTATGTGGTTCCTATAATATGAAGGAGGAGGCCTGAATTCTTTCAATGTCCGGTGTTCTGCTTTGTGTTTTATGATGTTTTGTGGATTTTTGTGGTTTTTTACGATGAGGTAGGATGGACGGGTGGCAATGGGAAAGGGCTGATATGTATGTGTGTGGATGTCTTAGAGTGTCGAGTATGTTTTTTTTTTTTTTTTTTTTTTTTTTTTGTGTGTTGCTCATACCTTGAGCGAATCTAGCTAGGGGCTGGAGGGTGGGTTTGGGTTGGGTAGGATATGGTGAGGAGAAGAGATACTGGCATCTGAACAAGCAATATTATGTGCTTCTGTTATACTGGTAATGATGGTTAGCCTATTTCTCTCCTGTGAAAATGTTTCCCTCTCTAGTGTGTAAAGTATGATTGTAAGAAATTGAATAAATAATTGATCACAAAAAAAAAAAAAAAAAAAAAAAAAAAAAAAAAAAAAAAAAAGAATAGGCTAAAGTTACTGTGACTGATACTGAACACTATAAAAATATAATGGGAATGGAAATACATTGTTGGATGATTATAAACATGGTATTTTGCCTGACCAATCCAACAATAAGCTTTTATTTTAAGAAAGACTCACAAATGAAATATTTGTGCACGCCTGCTATTTATCACAAGACCCGGCCAGCACTTCCTCCATTAGTTTCTAGGATGTGTACAGTTGAACTTTGCTATTATTGGCTTAGAATTGCGAACAAGTATTCTTTTGTACCCATTCATGTGATTCTACTTTCATGTTCTGTGGACTACATGCAATGCAACAGTTTCTAGATGAATAAATAGTTGTTATTTATTTTATTTCTTATCATAATCAACCATATACTGTTCAAAAGTTTGGGGTCAGTAAGTGTTTTTGACCCAGGTTGTATTTATTTTGTTAAAAATGAAGATTTTAAAACAATTTAAAATAACTGCTTTCTATTTTAATATATTTTAAAATGTAATTTATTCCAGTTATGCGAAGCTGAATTTTCAGCATCATTACTCCAGTCTTCAGTGTCACGTGATCCTTCAGAAACCATTCATATGCTGATTTGCTGCTCAAGAAACATTTCTCATTATTATTTATCAGTGATGAAAACAGTTGGGCTACTTTATATTTATGTGTATATTTTTTAATAGAAAGTTCAAAGAACAGCATTTAATTGAAATATATCTAAAAATAAATCTGTATCAGTCACTTTTGATTAATTCAATGCATCCTTGGTGAATAAAAGTATTCATTTGTTTAAAAAAAAATCGTACTAACTCCGAAATTTTGACCGATAAAGTTTCAGCTCTACTTCTTCAGAATTTGATAATACTATTGTTCAAATACAGTATGCTTGGCTTTGAAAATATAGAGCATCGAAATATTTCAGTATGTGTGTGTAATTAGATCATTCTGGCAAGCCTTTGACTTGAGAAAGAATTGAGTAATTCCAGCATGCTGTCCAGTTCCAAGGTAGGTTCCACATATCTTTTTTTTTCTTTTTTTTTTTTTTTTTTTAGATTTCTTATCTTCTAGCTAGCTCCATTCTGTTTGATCAGGCACAAAAATGCAATGATTAAAGTCACAGTCACTGTTTCTGTGGTTTAGTGTTGCTGTTTGCTTTTTATAGCACAGTGTGACTCGTGTGGCGGTTGACTCTCAAGTGAAATAATGACAAATTGTTTCCAACGCATGCACAGGGTTGCGTTTTAACAACTTTTGGGCAAGCACCGCTCTACAAAACGCTTCCTGTGCTTTAAGACAAGGTACTTTCCGAAACTTGTTGAACGTTTATGAAGTATCATAATATTAAGCACATGATGTCTGGAAATGAATGAACCAGGTCCCTCACGAGTCACGTCATGATTTAGTATACTGTAACAGATGTTGGGTGTGAGGCAGTTAAGCTAAAGTTTTGGTAACTATGATAACGTGTATCTGTCATTAAAAAGCATGCTTAACTGTTATCTCATTGTGGAGTAATTTTAGTCTAGTCAAGATGCAAGTATCTATGTAACCATCAAATGTCATTTGGACATCATACAGTACAGTTAGAATGTTGATTACAATAACATTAAGAAAAACTCCACAAATACCACTTGGATGACTAATGAAACATCTTTAACAACATAACCAATGTCAGAAACATTATAAGAGATCTGTGACAGCATTATGTGACAATACAGCCACACATAACCAAAAGAGAAGTGGCTATTTTAAACATTTTAGATTAGGATGCATTTTATAGCTTGTTAATTACATTACTTTTCTGTAAATCATAGATTTAGTGGTGGCTGGAAAATGGACATGAACTTTTTTTTTTTTTAACATTTAGCTTTAAAATCTTAAGAATCAAAATAATCTTAAGGTGTTGATTATTTGTCATGCACTTTAATCAGCTTTTATGGTCATGAGGTGTGACAAACGATTAAACATTAAAAAAAAATTAAATATAGTAATTTCACAATTACAATGAGGTCATAACGTCTGTAAAAGATGGGAGAGTGCTGTCACTCCTTGTCATGATAACTAATAACTTTATTCCCATGGTAATAAAACAAATGTAGAAAAAAAATTAAAGAAAAGTAAGCCAAGGCGTGAGGTTATCATCAAAAGACTGTTTTGTTACTGTGTCAAAAATGATGAATTAATCGTTTAGAACGAGCGAAATAATACAGGTGTCAGTCTCCGTCTGGATTACTGACAAAGTTAACTTAATCTAAATACAAAATCAATACTTTCAGTTAAATCTCAAACATTATTAGTAGACAAAAACATTTATAAACTCTTACATTGTAAACACTTCCGTTCCGTTACTCACTTTGGCTGTGTGCACGAGTGTTTGCGCTGGGCACCTGAGTGGTTGTAGGTTTCTCCGCTGGCATGGCATCTCACCGCTTCTGAAAGTTCAACCGCAAAACTGCTGAATGTAGGCTACGTAGGCTGCCAGGGATGCAAATGAAATCCTTTCATAAGTTTTCCTCACCCTGACAAAGTACACGTATAGGCAACTCTGAACGTTTTTGGTCGAAGAAAAGGCAAGTTGAGTTGCAGCTTCCCTCAACGCTCTATGGAGTTGTGGTGTGAGACACAGACAAGTGCGCGCGCTTTCACAGTGACTGACACTCACGCGTGCTGTGAGAGAAAGAGACGCATGCCTGATTGGTTTTCGTGATTACATCAAACAATATGTTTCCTTCACTACAAGACCATTGTGGGTGGTGACTTCTTCATCAAGCTGTCATTTTTCATAGCTCCTGCAGTTATAGCAATAAAAGTCGAAAGGCATTTGCCAGCATATAAGTAAACAAATACACAGAAATTATTAAAAATTTTTAACGCATAGATGGAGAAATTAATAAAAATATTTTTTTACAATAGAATAAATAAAGTGATAAAGAATCATAAAACAAATAAATGTATTTACTTTTGTACATATTACAAAAGTAATGAGCAAAAAAGTTTTTAGACTTTTTTTAAACTTTTAAAGTTTTTAGAAAAGAATTGACTTCTTTATAGCCTATTATATAGCCTATAAAATATATATGTATATTGTTCTTATACTCTTTGCTTTTATACAGTTAGTCTTTTGAAATTATCGTGACGTTTTATACCGTAATAAACGACCGCATTTTTACAAACGTTATTTTATCAGAGGAATTTAGTTCGAATCGTTTAGTTTGTTTGCTAATAGTAGGCTAAGCACGCTTTGAAATGTACACAGCCAGCACAATGATGTGAACGTGAGGATAGGGAAGTGAGAGACCAGTGATGGGCACCGTGAGGTTGTGTGGTTTCTCACGTAGGCCTACAGCCGAAATATTCTGCTTTCCCCTCAGGGCCATGTGAAGATAAATGTATGTAATCAGCGAACCAGAGGCCGAGGTCCACCCACCAATGACTTCATTAAAGCACGCAGCACACACTGCAATGACATTTCTTAATGTTTTGGATGTAATACATAAGTCAAAACCTTTTTGTGGCCATTTAGTAAATCAAATTACCCACCATGCTCACAATTTACCTTGTTTACATGCAAGAAACATTCAGCACAGATAGATTCTCTTAGAGTGCCAGACACAAACAGTGACAAAATTAAAGGTTATTTTCATAGAGGGAGGAAGTTCTTGAGTAGGCAGCTGCTTAAACAGACCCTTTCTGCTGGCTCAATTCTTTCTTTCCACAAGACAAGGGTAGAGTTTATTTTTTTTCCATGTCTGTTCCTTCCCTTAACGTACTACGACTTCCAGGAAAAGGTGTACTTAAAAGAAGATTCTTGATTATTACCATTCATCCACTGAAAAAAAATGACTTGACCAACAAATTATTTTTTTTTACAGTAACTTCATCTTTTTTTAAATATAAGATTCAACTTTAAAAAAAAAAAAAGTAATTTAAGTTGAAATTAATAGCCAAGTTGATTGTACTTAAAAATTTAAGGCAGTATTTTTTATACAGTGTAGTTTCAGGGTCATGACTCGTGCCCTTGGATTCATTTAAATACAGTCGAGCTTGTTGTAAACTCTAATCATGTCTACAAAAAGGTGTCATTGATTTAAAATTTTACATCTAAAGGTGAAACCTACTCAAGCTGGTAATGTACTGAATTTATGTACCGTGAAAATAATTGTTAACTGGTGACAGAATGACCCCCAAAGAACAAGATGAGATCAATATATCAATGTTTAAATAAAAGTGAGACGTTTGGTAGGAAAATAGCTTGAGTGTTCTTTTAGTATTATTATATACTATTGTAAAATTTCAAATGATGATTATTATTATTATTTTTTTTTTTAAGTTCCCAACACAACATTTCAGATTTTTGTTTTAATCTTTAAGGTCTCCTGGGCAAATTCCCTCAATTGGCCCTTACCAGTCATGACCTTCTAATAATCCCCTTACATTGTATTGGCTCTATCACTCTCTCCTCTCCACCTATAGCTGGTGCGTGGTGAACGCACTGGCGCTATTGTACTGTGGCTGCCGTCGCATTATCCAAATGGATGCTGAACACTGGTGGTGACTGAGGAGAGACCCCCGACATGGCTGTAAAGCGCCTTGAGCGCACTATATAAAATGCCTCAATCATTCAGGGTTTTCACCTGACATTTTTATTTTATTTCACATATGGTCATATTCATATTTTTTTTTTAATTCTAATCACAATAACACTGGTTTCAACAAATATTTCAGTCAATGAGAGTTCATGTCATAAAGTCCATGTACAAGCACACAAATAATAAACACACAATGAACACATTTGAAAAAAATCAAACTGTATTTGTGCTCAGATAATGTTATCATAAAAGCTTGCTAACAGAAAACCTTATGTTTTCAAAATGAACCATGTCATACAGTGCTCTAGGAATCTTAATAGTGAAACAAGGTGAAACTATTTGTAGTGTGAACAATGAATAATACAGTCCAGGATTTACACAAATATGAATTATGGCAAGTCTTAAAGAAAAGCACAGCAAAATATGATGTGATTTTGTTCAAATCAATGTGTTCATATTAAACTCCATGTGATTAGGTAGCAAAACAGAGCTTACATCTCACAAAATCTATCATTTAAAACACAACAGGGCTCTCTGTAATGTAAATACAATAAGTTAGTTTTGCAACAAACATGACTTGCCCTTGACATAAAATTCATTTTGAACTGCTGTCATCATTAGCAGCATAAACCTTGCTGGAACCCACTTGATCCCTTCAAAAGGTCTCAAATGGGCAAATTAGCCCCGAAACAAACATATTAAAAGAACAGTGCATTGAAGAGGTCACCTAAAACAAGAAATGTGCTCTTGGCTTTTCCTTTTCCACGCAAGGCTTCGGTTTTGTGTGCAGAGGCTTATCTTTGACAGACGTACAGTATATAATGCATGAGTAAACCACAAGCTTACGGTGTGGATGGATTGTAGTCGTCTTATTTCACATTTCATTTCAGTGAATACACATTCAGCCTTTTTTTATTTGTGCTTTAACACCCATAAGACAAACTCAATCTGAATCAGCAAGCTTCCAGAACCCAGCTGGCTTCATGTGTCAAATAAGAATTAGTAGTGCGTAGACAAAAAGGACCGAAATGCTGAAAAAAAAACAAAAAAAAACAGAGAAAACAAGCAGCCATGCATTTCATTTGTGCTGATATTTAAAAAAAACAAACAAAAAAAAAAACTTCTTGCAGCATTTTCAGTGATCAGTTGGAATGAACATTGAGGGAAAAATACACTTCTGACCTAACAGCTTCATTTCAAATGACTATTAGCTTTTATTTAGTGTATCAAAACAGTACAATATAATAGCAACAAAAATAGGTTGAATGTTTAAGGATCTCTGTTTTACCTTTTTAAGGCTAAATAAGTCAGGTTTGAGCTTATTCAGGCTAAGGAAAACATCAAAAACATAATTTTTGTGGGCGAAGCCTGTTGTGGCGTCACTCTTTGGAGTAAATACTGATGATCTAAGACCAATACTGGTATAAAGAGGGCATCCTTATGATAAAAACTAGAAAAAAGGCATTTGTCAAAGGCATCTCTCTTCTGAGATACATATTTTTGTTGATTGATTGGCACAATACACTTAAAATCGTGTTACGTTGTTCTTACAGGAAGTTGCTGGCTCACGATTGTGCCAACTTCCCTCTCCTCTTTCAAAGCACTGCCGTTCAAAAAAGCTTAGTAGGATCTGGCCTGATTCTGCAGCCATAGAGGACTCTGGGAAAACACATTGGGAGAGAACTGTAAGTTGTGTGGGTGAGTTGATCAAGTTTCCTCCATGCGCAGCTAAGGCATCTGGGAAATTTGTAGCATCTTGGGAGTAGCATTCCACAGCTAGGAAAGCGAAGCGAGGTAAGTATAGCTGCCAATACAGTGCAGTCCAGTTTAAGAAGATTCTCAGGTCTCAAAATACTTATAGATGGCCGTCACGTAGGTCATGACACTCTGCCAGTCAGGTCTTTCTGTGCGCACCATTTCACCAAGGTCCTGTCAAGACAGAAAGAATGAGTCAGATATGGGAAGGCAAGAGCAATTGGTCAGAAAAAATATGTTTGTGTCAAACTCTGTGGTGTCTTGTGCTATGTTACACAATCTTGCCACAGCTTGTTCAGGAAACAGCTCAGCTAGCAGTCACAGTTTTCACCATTAAAACTAGTAAACAAAGTCATATTACTAATCGTCTATCTATTTACATAATAAAAGCTTAAAGGGTTAGTTCACCCAAAAAAGAAAATGATGTAATCATTTACTCACCCTCAAGTTGCTCCAAACCTGTATGAGTTTCTTTATTCTGCTGATATTTTTAAGTATATATGGGCAGAGATGTATAGTACTATACTTAAGTACTAAAATGCTGTATCTGTACTTTACTAGAGTATTGTTTTTTTCCTCATACTTCTACTTTTACTTCAGTAGATATTTTCGATGAATTTAATACTTTTACTTCGATATTTTTTTTAATGTTCTGCTAGTTACTCGTTACAATTATACAAATTTTGTATGGCCGCCAAAGCAAATTTGTATCCCGCCAAAGTGCCTTATTTGATTGCTAGTTCAAACTTTTGACTGCTTTCTTTAATAATTACATGACACAATACTTGTACTTTTACTTTTAGTACTTAAGTAGTGAATTTTAAAATAAACTACTTGCAATACTTAAGTACAAAAAATGAATACTTTAGTACTTCTACTTAAGTGTGGTCCTTAAAAAGCACTTCAACTTCTACTCAAGTCACTTTTTTGATAGAGCACTTGTACTTTTACTCAAGTCCGGGTTTCTAGTACTTTATACATCTCTGCAATAGAATGGGAAAAAAATTAATATGGAAGTCAATGGCTATCTTCAACTGTTTACCGACATTCTACAAAATATCTTCTTTTGAGTTCAGCAGAAGAAAGAAACTCACACAGGTTTGGAACAACATGAGAGTGAGTAAATGATGACAGTATTTACATTTTTGGGCAAAGTGTCTCTTTAATTGGGCCATTCTTTGTATATGTTGCCATTTTGACCGCATGACTATATAAAAACAACTAACAGGATAAAACAACAAAGGTTGAGTTCACACACACTGTAAAAAATATTTTCAAGATTTGTTATCACACCATTTTCTTTTGTCAAATCAACTTT